TGGAATAATTCAGGAACATAAAATCTGATCCTATCCAGGACAAAGGTAGCTACCAGTTCCACCACTAACTCCACGATCCAACGTTTGATACCGAACATAATCGAATTGTGAGAGGCCAAAAGCGAGTACACTTACTTGTCCGCTCCTGTCGCAGAAAAGACGATCAAGCCCCGAGGGCCGGCCTTTTATAGTCTCTGCCGTGAGGCGTCCTGCTGCGTCATCACGTTCTCCCACGCAGGGAGGGCTCCTGGCCAATCAGGTCGTCGGACGTGTCCCAGCAGCCCGCTGACGTTGCAGCGGGGTCGCAGAAGCGGGATCGCAGAAGCGGGATCCTGGCAGAAGCGGCATCGCAGAAGCGGCATCGCAGTAGCGGGATCCTGGCAGAAGCGACATCGCAGTAGCGGGATCCTGGCAGAAGCGGCATCGCAGTAGCGGGATCCTGGCAGAAGCGGCATCGCAGAAGCGGGATCCTGGCAGAAGCGGCATCGCAGAGGCGGCATCGCAGTAGCGGGATCCTGGCAGAAGCGACATCGCAGTAGCGGGATCCTGGCAGAAGCGACATCGCAGTAGCGGGATCCTGGCAGAAGCGACATCGCAGAAGCGGGATCCTGGCAGAAGCGGCATCGCAGAAGCGGCATCGCAGAGGCGGCATCGCAGAAGCGCAGTGTCACTGCTCACGACACGAGGCTTGTGTCTCCTGCTGGCTCAGCGAGAGCCCCGAGTTTACCGTTTGGCTCTTGGTGCCGCGCGGATTCTGTAAATGTCAGCTCTGTGTGGACAGGAACCTTGCAGTTGTCCCACCCGCCAGTGGGGCTCCCTTTCCTCTAGGACCCCGGCATTGTGTGTGAGAGGAAAGGAGTCATTTGGGACAATTTGGATTTCAGGCTGAATTGTAGGTAGAGTGTATCTATATACATACGTACATACTAATTTCAAATGAGAATTATCATTTGAAGAAATCACACGCCTCTCCTCCTTTAAGGCATGAATGCTGTGAATTACACTGAATTTCTACTGTTTCATTATATTCCTGGAATAAACCGTGTATTCAGTGATTACCTACAAAAATGGACCAGACGGAGTCAAAAAGAAAGAAACGCTTGAGTAGCCATATGAACCAACAAACAAATTGGGTTACTATTTTGGACCTAGATCGATTGGTAGGAGAGATTTTTAAACATTAAACGAGAAACATTCTGATCTTACCCCTACTCCTAGAGAAAAGAGGAAGAGGCCGCCTGGGCAGCTCAGTCGTTAAGCCTCTGCCTTGGGCTCAGGTCATGGTCCCAGGGTTGGGATCGAGCCCCGGGTTGGGTTCCCTGCTCTGCGGAGAGCCTGCTTCTCCCTCTTCCTCTGCCTGCCACTCTGCCTACTTGTGCTCTCTCTCTGCTTGTCGAATAAATACGTAAAATCTTAAAAAAAAAAAAAAAAAAAGAATATGATCAGACGGGTGAAAGAAAGAGCCAGACAGTAGATTTTGAGTGTATTTTGGTCTATTAGAAGAAACTGCATCCCAAAATTGTAAACAAAGAAAACTTCTATATGTACAAAAACAAGATTAAATACCTTGAAAGGATAGAATGTACCTTTAGAGAAAAAAAAATTTAAAAAGACTTTTAAAAAAAGAAAATTTAAAAAGACTTTAACCAAGCAAAAAAATGACAAAACAAACAATCAAAAAAAAAGGGAGAAGAAAAAAAAAGATAAAGCAACCACACACACATACACAGAAATGTAAAAAATAATATTTTGACACAAGTGAATAGAACAGAGCCATACACTAGACTTTGAGTGTATTTATTTTGTTAGAAGACACTGCATCCCAAAATTGTAAAGAAAGAAACTTACAAAGGTACAAAAACAAGATTAAATAACTTGAAGGATAGAGTGTAACTTTAGAGATGAAAATTTTATTAAAAAGACTTTAACAGAATAAAAAACGACACAAAAATAAAGCCAACCAACCAACCAAACAAAAAAAGTGGAGGGGGTGAAGGAAGAAAAAGCAACCCCCCACACACTAGAAATGGTGAAAAGAGTGTGATCAGACAGGTGATTAGAACAGAGCCATCCACTAGATTTTGAGTGTATTTTGTTCTGTTAGAAGACACTTCATCCCCAAATTGTAAAGAAAGAAAACTTACATAGATACAAAAACAAGATGAAATACATTGAAATGACAGAATGTAACTGGAGAGATGAAAATTTTAAGACTTTAATAGAACAACAAAAAAATAAAGCAAACCAAACAAAAAAAGGGGAGGGAAAAACAAAAAACAACAACTGCACACACACACAGAAATGCAAAAAAGAATATGATCCGACAGGTGAATAGAACAGAGCCAGACACTATATTTTGAGTGTATTTTGTGATGTTAGAAGAAACTGCATCCCAAAATTGTAAAGAAAGAAAATGTACGTATGTGCAAAAACAAGATTAAATACTTTGAAAGGATTGAATAAAGCAAACCAACAGATAAAGAGGGAGAAAAAAAGGAAAAAAACAAAAAACCAACCACACACACAAAAAAAAGAAAAAAGAATATGATCAGCCAGGTGAATAGAAAGAGCCAGACACTAGATTTTGAGTGTATTTTGTGATGTTAGAAGACACTGCATCCCAAAATTGTAAAGAAAGAAAACTTATATATGTACAAAAACAAGATTAAATACCTTGAAAGGATAGAATGTAACTTTAGAGAAAAAAAGAATTTAAAAAACTTAAAAAAAAAAAAAAGAAAATTTAAGAAGACTTTAACCGAGCAAAAAAATGACAAAACAAAAAAATAAAACAAACTAAACCAAAAAAAAGGGAGAAGAAAAAAAAAGATAAAGCAACCACATACATACACAGAAATGTATAAAATAATATGATCAGACAGGTGAATAGAACAGAGCCATACACTTGATTTTGAGTGTATTTTGTTTTGTTAGAACACACTGCACTCCAAAGTTGTAAACAAAGAAAACTTAACAAATGCACAAAAACTAGATTAAATACCTTGAAGGATAGAATGTAACTTTAGAGATGAAAATTTAAAAAGACTTTAACAGAGGGGGCGCCTGGGTGGCTCAGTCGTTAAGCGTCTGCCTTGGGCTCAGGTCACATGATCCCAGGGTCCTGGGATCGAGGTCATGGTCCCAGAGTCCTGGGATCGACCCCCGCATCGGGCTCCCTGCTGGGCGGGAGGCCTGCTTCTCCCTCTCCCACTGCCCCTGCTTGTGTTCCCTCTCTCGCTGTGTCTCTCTCTGTCTCTGTCAAATAAATAAAGAAAAATCTCAAAGAAAAAGCTTTTATTTATTTATTTGAGAGAGAGACAGAGACTGGGCGACAGAGATAGAGAGAAAGAGCACAAGTGGCGAGGAGAGGGAGAAGCAGGCTCCCCGCTGAACAGGGGGCCCGATGTGGGGCTCGACTCCAGGACCTGGGATCATGACCTGAGCCAAAGGCAGACACGTAGCTGACTGAGCCACCCAGGAGCCCCTGTGTGCTATTTCAAACACTTCTGCAAACTTGCCCATTGAGGACATAGGTCTCCCACCATCAGGGGCTTTAATGTGAAACTACTCAGAGTCACAAACTGTGTGTGAACTCGATGTGCTCAAAGCAGCGCCGTGGTACAGATTTTGACCCTCGAGAGCATGCAGCGCCCTCCTGTTACAACCACCCGACAAGTGCCGACAATACTGGAGCAGTGGATCCAAGGGAGCTAAAGCGCCATCAGGCCCGGGTCCCTGTGTTTCGTTTGAAAGTGACAGCACTTCTTGTAGCTGTAATAAGCGCTGTTGATGAAATACATTGTTGTGAGTGATGAGGCGCAAGAGCCAGAACACGGCAGGCTGCACATTTCCAGGTGGCCCCAGGAGAGATGCCCCACGGGGTGGTTGCTCCACGCACACCCTCTCCCCTCCATGGTCTCTCTTGAGCCAGGCCCTTCCTCTGGGTCTTCAGGTTCATCACGTGCCTTCACCCCTGCCCACGTGGACCCGGGAGGGCAGCCCCTGCACGGAAGGTCCCTCAGGCCACCGGCAGGGGGGAGGCCGGGGCTTCGTGGACCCAAGCTGCAAAGACTCCTACAGAAAGGGAAGGTCCGCTCAGTAAGCCCAGGCCTGGTGAGCCCAGCGTGGCTACCACGTCCCAGGGCTGCGTGGGGGTCAAAACCTGTGGTAAGAAATCCCGTCTGTTAATGTGAACCCCAACGGTACCCTTGAGCCCAGAAAGAGGACAGGCCCCAGAGCACCAGCTGGCTCTCTTGGGTGAGGATGGTTGATATTCCAAGAAGCAGTTGCTCTGGTCCCTTTCCTGTGACTTTGCAGCTCTGCCCGCTCGGAGGGGTTCCCTCCATGCCTATCCTGGAGCCCGTGAGTGGGAGGAACGTCACCAAGAGACATGTTTTGGGCCCTCTGCAAAGTGTCCTCTTTGCCCTCACCGTTTGTTAATGCCGGAGGGACTCTCCTCCTCTCTCCTCTGCACTGCCTGCTAGACGCTTCCCCTTTAGGGTGCTAATTCTATTTAGTATCTTCAGAAAAGGCAAAGGTTTTCTTAAACACAAGGGAGCTCCCATGGCCACACAGAGCACCTGACTCAGGAGCTTCCCAACCTGCTCATCTAAGGTGTCTCCCTCCCCTTTCCTCATTCTGCCTTTTTGATTTCCATTATTTAAAATTTTATTTTTATTTAAGACACATTGTTTTTAGTAGGCTTCATGCCCAGCATGGAGCGCAACACGGGGCTGGAACACAAACCCTGAGATCAAAACCTGAGCTGAGATCAACATTTGGATGCTTAACCAACTGAGCCACCCAAGAACTTCTATTTTTATTTTTTAAACTAAGCTTGAGATCACTACCTAGAGACAAGAGTCTCATACTCTATGGACTGAGCCAGCCACGCACCCCTTTTTTCTTTTTCTTTTTTTTACTTTTAAGATTTTACTTATTTATTTACTTGACAGAGAGAGACAAAGCGAGAGAGGGAACACATGGAGGGGGAGTGGGAGAGGGAGAAGCAGGCCTCACGGCGAACAGGGAGCCCGATACGGGGCTCAATCCCAGGACTCTGGGATCATGACCTGAGCCGAAGGCAGACACATAACAACTGAGCCACCCAGGCGCCCCACTTTCTTTTCATTTTTTAATGTCACGTCTTAGGTTCCTCAGCTCTCTTGAATCCTTTCATCTGTCCCCCTTCCACACTGCTACCTCCTCTACCCCTGTTTCCATCCCTGCCCGGCTCTTCTCCTGGTATCTCCCGATAATCACTGGAGCTTTGAGACAGTTCCCCACTGTGGGCTCTTGAGGGGCTCAGAGACCCCACAAGCAACCATCTGGGGTGAAACGGCCCGACTGAGAACAGGAATTGAAACTCACCCACTAACACTTTGTATTTGTCACACCCAGAACTTCCTCTTTGAAGGCAAGAAGGTTTCAAAGGCCCCAGACTCTTCACCCCAATTTTCTCTCTTAAAGAAATGTGTTCAAAAGTATAGTAGGTTGAAAACAATCACATTACATTTACTACCATTAGCCATACACCAGCGTATGGGACAGCAGGGGTATGCAAATTCTCATTGCCATACAACGCATCTCTAGCACCTGTTCATTTTGTGACTGAACATCTGTACCCACAGCTCTGCGTTTCCTCTTCCCTGCCCCCACGGGATCCCATCGTTCTTTCTGTTTCTATAAATTTGACTACTTTAGATACCACGTGTAAGGAGAATCATAGGGTATTTGTCTTTCTGTGACTTGCTCATTTCACTTGGCAGAAGGGCCAGAATATCCTTCTTTTCTAAGATGGAAGAACATTCCGTTGTTATGTAGATGCCTCCGGTTCTTTCTCCATTCCTGTGTGTGGGGACATGTGGGTGCTTGACTCTGGAGAAGAACACTGCATCGAACGGGGATGTGCAAGTGTCCTTCGTCACGTTGCTTCCAATTCTTGGAAGTGATGTAACATCGGGAGTGAGACGGCTCCATCACGTGGTAAGTCTATTTCTTCCTTTGGAGAACACTCTGCACCGTGTTCCACGGCCGATGGGCCATTTTACATTTTCACCGACATGGGGCCAGGGTTCCAATGCCTCCAGATCCTCCCCAACACAAGTTGTTTTACAGTTTTTGGGTCTTGGGTTCTTTTGGTTATTGTTGATAGTGGCCATCCTAACGGGTGTGACATGATATGTCTTTGTTCTTTGATTTGCTTTCTGTAATGATTACTGGTGCTGAGCCTGTTCTCAGAAGCTTGGTGGCCGTTGCATATCTTTGGAGAAATGTCTCTTTAAGATTTTTGCCCATTGTTTACTTGGGTAGTTTGTTTTCCTTGCTGTTGTGAATTGTAGAGTTTCTTTACACCTTCTTGATTTGAATCCCTTCCCAGACATAGGAACCGCAAGTCTTTTCCCCATTGTGTAGGTTCCCTTTTCCCCAAGTTGATTGTTTCTCCTGAGGGCCAACAGTCTGTAAGCTTGAACTGGCCCCGGTTTTCTCGTTGGTTTTGTTGCCTGTGTTTTTGGTGTCATGTCCCCGACATCATTGCCAAGTCCAATGTCATGAAGCTTTTCTCCGCTTTTCCTCTCTCAGCGTCACGGTCTTAGGTTCTCTGTTGAGACGCATTATCTATTTTCAGTTAATTTTTGTGTATAGTGGAAAGGAAGGGTCCGGATTCCTTCTTTGTATGTGGATATCCTGTCTTCCCAAGCCTTTTCATTGAAGAGACTGTCCCTTCTCATTCGAGTGGGATTGGCACCCTGGGGAAGAATATTTGGCCATGTGTGGAAGGCTCTGCAATTTAGGGGCTCTCTGTTCTGTTCATTTGGTCTACGTGTGTCTCTGTGTCTATGCCAGGACCTCACTCTTTTGTTTCCTGTAGCTCAGTAATACGTTTTGAAATCGGGAAGTACAAGCTGCCCACTTCTACTATTTCTAGATTGTTCTGGCTCCTTGGGGTCTGTTGAGATACCATATGAATTGAAGGATGAATTTTTTTCGCCTTCCTGCCCACAATGCCATTAGGATTTTAATGTGGATTGCGTGTGTATATCACTTTGGGGGTATGGACTTTTTAAACAAGATTTTATTTATATGTGAGTGAGAGAGAGTACGAGTGGGGCAAGACGCAGAGGGAGAGGGAGAAGTAGACTCCATGCTGAACAGGGAGCCCGACACAGGCAGGCTCCACATTTCCTGGTCACCCCAAGGACCTCCGAGTTCCCCACTCACACCCTTTCCCTTCCACGGGTCTCTCCTGACCCGGGGGCGGGGGCGTTCTCGTGAGCCTTAGGAGTCTCACCACTGCCCACACCGCAATGTGGGTCCCCTGGAACCTGAGTTTGGGGACCCTATTCCTTCCCCCAGCTCAGTCCTCATCCCAGCCGGCTCTACTCTGGCCAAATTTGGGATACATGCCCCACAACTGGTAAAGACGCCTTCGACCAGTTCATGGTTCGTACTTCTCTCACCTTGAACTTCTCCCGGGGAGAGGAGACATCTCTAAAACCCCTGGGATGCTGAGCCCCAGAATATAGGCTGAGAAACCACCCCACCCCCATCCACCACGCAGCAAATCTCAGCCAGGCTTCAGACCCCTCCCTCCCCTGCCCACCCTACGCCATGGCATGGAGCTCTCTTTCTCACCCACCCTGGTTTTTCCCTCGGATCCTGGCCACAGAGCCTGAGCCACACAGGAGAAAGAAGTCAGCCTAGGGCGGGGGAATAAGGCTGCAGACACTCTATTTGTTGGTAAGAAGTTTATTTGCTCCTTTGTGTCAAAAAAGAAAGAACTGAGGCTGCAAAGCGAAACAAAACTTCTTTTGAAATCTGGGAGACACAGATTCAAGAGGAACCGTAAATGTGCTCTGAGCGGGGGAGGAGATACAGTGGATGAAGGTAAACCCGCAGGCTTGTGGAAGTTCTTCTGAAAGAAAGATGATCGGTGGGGCGCCTGGGTAGATCAGTCGTTAAGCGTCTGCCTTCAGCTCAGGTCATGCTCCCAGGGTCCTGGGATCGAGCCCCGAATCGGGCTCCCTGCTCCGCGGGACGCCTGCTTTTCCCTCCCCTACTCCCCTGCTGGTGTTCCCTCTCTCGCTGTGTCTCTCTCTGTCAAATAAAGAAATCAATAAAATATTAGAAAAAAAACAAAGATGATGGGTGCGGCATAAAAAAGTGGCTTTACTATATACATAGACGATAGTTGCGAGGTGGAGCTCAGCAAAATAAGCTTCCAGCTGAGAACCATGGCAGAATGTAGCGGTTTGTGGTAGGCACAGGCTGGGTCCAGACGTGGACGTGCATAGGACCAATTTGTACAGTGGCCTCTGGGCTCCACGTTAGGAGTGCTTAACATTAGTGATTCAGTTGCGGTGTTTCCGTTCACAGTTGTGAGCCAGTCTTGTTTGCGAGTGTGGTACAAGGCGCCAGGCTCAGGGACAGAGCTGAGCACACACACAAGCCTCCCATGGCAGTAGATCAGCTAGTAAAGTAATTTGCTCTCCTCCTGGTGCTAAGTATCCCCCCAAGGAACCCCGATCGCTTAGGTGTTTAAGAGTAGCTAAAGCACAACCACCTCTGTGGGTTCAGCAAACCTCCTCCTGTGTCCAGAATAACATGGCATATTTAGGAAGACTTCTCGGACCATCAGGTTGTGTATGAGGGAAGCAAGATTGCTCAGGACATAAATAAGGGTCTTCTTCAACAGACGCCGGCACATCTTTTTTAAACAATCCGTGAACTTCCATTGGTTCTCCAGTAATGTCTGGAATAATTCAGGAACATAAAATCTGATCCTATCCAGGACAAAGGTAGCTACCAGTTCCACCACTAACTCCACGATCCAACGTTTGATACCGAACATAATCGAATTGTGAGAGGCCAAAAGCGAGTACACTTACTTGTCCGCTCCTGTCGCAGAAAAGACGATCAAGCCCCGAGGGCCGGCCTTTTATAGTCTCTGCCGTGAGGCGTCCTGCTGCGTCATCACGTTCTCCCACGCAGGGAGGGCTCCTGGCCAATCAGCTCGTCGGACGTGTCCCAGCAGCCCGCCCACGTTGCAGCGGGGTCGCAGAAGCGCAGTGTCACTGCTCACGACTCGAGGCTTGTGTCTCCTGCGGGCTCAGCGAGAGCCCCGAGTTTACCGTTTGGCTCTTGGTGCCGCGCGGATTCTGTACATGTCAGCTCTGTGTGGACAGGAACCTTGCAGTTGTCCCACCCGCCAGTGGGGCTCCCTTTCCTCTAGGACCCGGGGATTGTGTATGGGAGGAGAGTAGTCACCGGGACAATTTGATCCTGAGGCTGAATTTTAGGTAGAGGTTGTTTTTTTAATGCATCTGTCGAAAAAAAGCACATGGCTTCCCTCCTTAAACCATTAATGCTGTGAATTGCTTTGATTTTCTACTGTTAAACTAACTATATTCCTGGAATAAACCCTACATTTCATGCACATTATCTTTTTCATTCACTGCAGCATTGTGTCTCCTATTCCTGTAGGATGTTTGTAATGCTGACTTTGGCCTATTCTTTTCATTTCTGTATTTTTTCTGGTTTGGGGGTCAAGGTATTTCTAGCCCCACAGTAAGAGCTGGGGATGTGTTCTCTCTTTCTCTTTTCTGTAGGAGTAGGGGTAAGATTAAAATGGACTCTGAAGGTTTAAAAATCTCTCCTACCAATTGATCTAGGTTCCAAAATAGTAACTCAATTTGTTGGTTCATATGGCTACTCATTACTCTTTTGGTAGATTTGAGCCTATGTCTCTCAGTAATCAGAGAGCAAACTAATCAGGAAGGATATAGAATATTGGAGCAGTGCAAGAAGCTGGCCTCTCTCTCTATAAAATGTTGCAATACATTTTTTCAAGCACACATGGCAATTTTATGAATATTTGCCACATACTAGACCAAAGAGCAAATTTCAGTAAATATTCATAGATGGAATGCTCTGTGAACACTGTGCTATGAAGTGAAAATCACCATCTTCATGGAAACCATCTTTTAAAAAACTTGTGCTTGAACAAAGAACGATAATGGCAATTTCAAATTATGTATAATTAACTGTAAAACTACTTTCTGTAGGGGCGCCTGGGTGGCTCAGTTGGTTAAGCGACTCTTGATCCCAGCTGAGGTCTTGATCTCGTGAGTTCAGCCCCTCATTGGGCTCCACACTGGCCATGGAGCCTATTTTAAACCAAACCAAACCAAACCAAACCAAACCAAACCAAACCAAAACAAAACAAAACAAAACTTTCTGTAGAACACACAGGATGCAACTGAGGCCAGCTCGTGGGCAAATTTAAAATGCTAAGATGCTTAACATAGAAAAGAACGAAAGAATGGTTATTTATGAGCTAATTATCCACTTGTGGAAGTAAGAAAAGGAACAAACTCAAAGGAGAAAGAACATAAGAGATGAGCAAGAAACACAAAAGTCTAGAGGGGTGGCTCTTTCAAAATAAATTTCTGACCATGTGATTGGAAAAAATGAGACAAGGCACAAGAAGCAACGTTAGGAGTGGAAAAGGGAAAAAGGAGGATGGCCTTGAAGGAGATCATGAACATTCTGATTGCAAAATCTGAATAATTTGTTCAGTGATTACCTACAAAAATGGACCAGACTGAGTCAGAAAGAAAGAAATGCATGAGTAGCTATGTGTGGTTAAAAAAGAACTATAACGGTAGAGGAATATCTTGTATAATGCAGCTGGGGGTGGGGTGGGTTGGGGAGTGGGGCTGGCCAGGAACACACAGGGCTGTGGGGTGCTGATTCTCTTCTTCCTTAAGCTGAGTGAAGACACATAGTAAGGTGTTTGGTTTTTTTGTTTTTTTTTTTTTAATTTTTGCTCTCCATGCCACCACAGATGCCATAAGCAATTATTTTTAATATCTCCAGTATGCAATATGAAAACAAGAAAAAGTTTTAAAGTTTTTGCTGTCAATTTAAGAAGAAAAGGCTTCAGTATGGACTCATACAAATACAGAGCAAACCTTTATCATACGCCCAGGATAATCAACCGAGTCCTAGTAAATATGTACTTTACAACCAAAGCATATAACACATTTGAGAAAAATCCATAAGGAAATAGGAAAACAGGGCAATGAAGGAGAAAACTGGTGGCCAGTGCACACACATCTGAGGAGAGCCAGTGGAGTGAGGTCGGGGAGCAATCGCCCGATGTACAAATGGAACCCATGACTGCTAGAAACATCGTGTACTAGTTCAGAAGGAAACTTCTCAAGGTCCTTCTGACCATCAGGGATTCAAGGAGATGGCTGTTGAACTCCCATGGAAAGGGTGCCGGCAGAAGAAGAAAGACTTCCCAGAAATTAAAAAAACAAATAAACACACAAAAAATTGAGTGTAATTGCTGAATAACTGGAATGTCGCTGCTGAAAAATCTACCAAATGACCTGGAAGCTACAACTGAGGAAATCAACCATAAATCAGGGAGCAAAGATGGAATGTGTGAGAGAGAAGTGCTTGGGGAGTTGCGCACATTTGTTTAGTGCCTCTAATGGGTGCCAGGCACTACGTCAGTGACATATAGGAATTACTTTACTCTTCAGGCAGCTGTAGGAGGATGTGAATGTGTTCCTTTCCTAGTGTCCTCCCAGAGTCAAAGGATTTTTTTTTTTTTTAGAATTAGGGTTGAATTTTATCAAATAATTTTACCAAATCTATTGAGATAAGTATTTTTCTCCTTTAGTCTGTTGTCATGGAGAGTTACTTTCTGATACTGAAACACACTTGCATTCCTTTTTTTTCTTTTCAGAGAGAGAGAGAGAGTGAGTGCAAGTGGGGCAGGAAGGGGCAGAGGGAAAGAGAGAGAATCTGAAGGAGGCTTCACATCCAGATTGGAGCCCAAAGTGGGGCTCGATCTCACGACCCTGAGATCACGGTCTGAGCTGAAATCAAGCGTCGGATGCTTAACCAACTGAGATGCCCAGGTGCTCCCTCCCCCACTTATTTTTAAAAACACACTTGCAATCCTGATAGAAATCCTACTTGTTCATAACTTTTCTATTTGCTTTTTTGACATGATTAATTCTGCATTTGGTTTCCTAATGTTTCCTTTGATTTTGTATTTGTATTGGTAAGTGAAATTGGTCTGTAATGTTCTTGCCTGGTTTTCTAGTCTCATAAACTAGTTAGGAAGTGATCTCCTTTTACCACTTTTTATTCTCTGGAGGAGTTTGTTGAGAATTATCTTTAATTTGAAGATTTGTTAAAGTTCATCCATAAAGACAATGGGGGCCTGGTACTATTTTTTTGGTAGAGGGTAATTAGTGGCTCTCATTTTAATTTCTTTAATGGTTATTGCTCTGCTCATATTATCCATTTTTTTCTGAGGTCAGTTTTGGTGATTTACATTTATCTAGATAATTGTTCATTAATCCATAATTGAAAATATATTGGCCTAGCTTTTGTGGTAATCTCCGATAAAGTTTACAATCTCTCTTATATCTCCCTAGTAAGTCCTTAAAGATTTTTATCAATATATCAATTGATTCCTTTCTCTTTTTTTAAAGACTTATTTATATGAGAGAGAGACAGGGAGGGAGGGAGGGAGGGAGGGAGGGAGGGAGGGAGGGACAGAGGGAGAGAGAACCTCCAGCAGACTGCATGTTGAGCGGGGAGCCCAACACAGGGCTCGATCTCACAACCCTGAGATCACAACCTGAGCCAAAACAAAAAGTCGGGTGCTTTACCAACTGTATCATCCAGGTGCCCCTCAATTGATCCTTTCTCTGTTTCTCTCTCTCTGTCTCTGTGAACACCTTGGTTTAGTGGTGAATGGTGCAGGGTAGAGGGAAACTTACAGCAAAGATTCTCTCCTGGCCAGACTTTAGTCAGGTTCTCTGAGCCTTCTCCTTGACTAGGCCTGACCATATGCTTCAGGTCCAGTTTGAGAAGAAACCTACTAATTAGCTGAGCCAGAATCCCCCACCCTCGATATCTGACCAAATTCTTCACGTCCCAGCATCCCCTAGGTAGTATGTGATCTCTCCAGCCTGTCTTCAGTGAAAGCCCTTAGTGAGCTTAGCAAGAATTACTCTACCTCCTGGTAACTTTCAATCCACTGACTGCCCCACCCTGTCTCTTGGCTATAAATCCGCACTCTTCTTGTTGATTTGGAGTGGGGTCCAATCTGTCTCCCCCACTGCAAACGCACTGTAGTAGTCTGCCTCAATAAAGTGTGCCTGACCATCCTTAACGAGGGTCAGAATAATTTTTTCGGTAACATTGAAAATGAGTAATTATAATATGGTTGATGAGGATTAGAAGAAAGTGCATTAACAGGGGCTATGTGGTTATAAGGGAATCCCTGAGGGGCTTGTAAAGGTTCAAGAATTTGGAAAATATTAAGACAAGTGAGGAGATGGTATTTAGGATGAACCAAAAGACTGGGGAAATAACAGGTGGGGGAGACTGAAAGAAATTAGTCCATCTTTAGTGGCAGGGCTAGTAAGGACCCCACAGAACAAGTGTTCAGAGGGCTTAGCTGTCTAATAGGCATTTCAATATTTTATGTCCAAAAGGAAGCTCTTGAGTTATTTTTTCCCCCAGTGTTTTCCCCGAAAATACTAACTCCGTTTCCCAGATCACAAACTGGAACCACTATCCCTTTTGTGTTGAACAAGCCAGAAGCTTCAGAAAGAGCAGTGTGGGTTACATTCTGGATGTACTTTTCTTCCTTTTATTTTATTATATTTTATCTGATTTTATTTTATTTTATTTTTTAGTTTATTTTAGAGAGAGGGCTCACGCAAGCTAGTGAGGTGGGGTGTGAAGGGGCAGATGGAGAGGGAGAGAATCCAAAGCAGACTTCCCACTGTGCGTGGAACCTGATGTGGGGCTGGATCCCATGACCGTGAGATCATGACCTGAACCTAAATCAAGAGTCAGATACTTAACTGACTGAGCCACCAGGTGTCCCACTTGATGTACTTTTCAAGTGTGTGCGGGGACACGTGGGGCTTGATCGATGCCTTTCCAACATTCTGTGGTCTGTAAACTTTGTCCTGGCAGTTCTGAGTGCTGGACTATCAGAAACCCATCAGTGGGGATACTTTCAAAGATAGCAGGGGCTGTAAGAAACTACAGGAGTAATGATAATTTTGATCAAAAATGAGAGTTCTGGGTGAAGAAGTACAGTGGATGTTCCTCATAGTCACCCATGGTGGGGGAAACAGGACAATTCATACACCCTTACAGTGTTCAGATGAATTAGTTGAGAGGAAAATCCAAACCTTTAAACTTTGTTTCAGAAGCGACAAGTTGAGTGTCATCGTCGGAAAACAGGCAGCTGATGGTCCATTGCCAACGTGACCCTTTCGTCCAGATGATTCTTCCAGACTCTCTGGGTATGACCCAAGCCATATATCTGAAAGCACGTCGTACATGTGGACTCACAGAGTCAGGTAGGTGCCCCGGAAGTCTGTTGTGTTGGAAATGTGAGCCCAACAAGTTTTTCTGGTTTGCTGGTCACCAGGGACACCTGATGTCACCCCACACAGATGTCAGTGGTTCGCACTCTTGTTCCTGGTCCTGTGAGGACATGTGGTGTCTGAGGGGAGAAGGGGGGATGAGTCTTTCGACTGAAGGGGTGTTTGCTTCTGCCGGTACCCTGGTGATGGTGGATTTTGATTTGTATTTTCTTTTCTTCTCTTTCTTTCTTTCTTTTTTCTTTCTTTTTTCTTTCTTTCTTTCTTTCTTTCTTTCTTTCTTTCTTTCTTTCTTTCTTTCTTTCTTTCCTTTCTTTCTTTCCTTTCTTTCTTTTTTGTAGTCTCTTCAAGCTCCATGAGGAAAGGAAGAGAGGACAAAATGTGGTTTGGATCCCCTTCATTCTACTCGGCCCGTAAAGTACAGACATGGAGTCATTTCCCTTGAACACAGAACACAGGGAAGAAGAAAGGATGCGGGTGGTCAATAGGGACCCGGCCAGTGACGCTCTGAGTCTTCAGCTGCAGCATCCGGGCCATGCTGGCCACCGGCAGGCTGTGGGACCCAGAGATGCTGCTCGAGGAGGGACCTCGCTCCCGTCTGTGCTCTGTCAGCTGTCCCACCGCCACCCACATCCACCCCCACCGGGTCTGAGGACCTCCAGGCCCCGGTGGACACCGTGAGGATCGTGTCCTGCTGGATGGACGGCCCCACCTCTCCTCTCTGGCCTCTCGCACGAGCTGGGATCAAGCCGAACCCGTCCCAGCGCCCCCTCTCAGCGCCTTAACGGCACACATACTTCCAGCATTCACTTCCGGTCTCCACACAGGCTCAGCCTGCACACATCTCCTTCTCTTGAAGGTCTTTCCCGCCACGTGGGGGCCGCAGCAAGAATCATGAGAGTCACTCTTGAGTCTTTGGTACCCCTGCCCCACGGGGAATCTGTCACCCACACCTCTCCATGTCCCCCACCTGCCCCGCCATTTCTCCTATTTCTCTACCACTTTCTCCTCCACCGTGACCACGAGTCCAAACTGTCATTCCCTCCGTGGACCGGGCAGGGTCCAACCAGCCTTGCAGGGCGTGAGGTTCCTCCTGTTGCCGTAACAAATGACCACAACTGCGGTGGCTTCACACAACACAACGTGTTAATCCTAGAGTTTTGTAGGTCAGAAGCCTGACACAGAGCCACAGGGATCGCCCAAGGCCGTCTCCCCATTTAAAGGCCAGCCTGGTAACAACCTTAATTCCCCGTTGCCTTGTCCAGTCACGTATTCACAGGCGCTGGGGACATCCTTGGGGGTCACTTCTGCCTATGACAGCTTCCACCGTCTCCTCTCTCTGGGGTCTTCTCTGCGCGCAAGCAGAGCGATACCACTAGAATAACGCCATGTAAATAGATCATGTCGCTTCTAGAAAAGAGATCAAACAACGAATAAACAGTCTCTTCACACACGTCCGACTGCACTTCGAATGAGACACAGGGTCCCTCATGTGGCCTCCAAAGCCCTGCATGATGGGCCCCCAGGCTTCAGGCGCACTGGCCGCTCCAGGTTTGAGGGGAGGTGGGTGCGAGTAGAGAGGGTGGGTCTCCCTGTCCTTTCATTCCTGGGGGTAGATCCCCTTTCTTGTAATTTTGTGGTGGGGTCATGAACCTTCCGTGTGGCTCTTTTTTTTCTTTTTAAGGTTTATTTATTTATTTATTTGAGAGAGCGAGATTGAGAGAGAGAGAGAGCACATGAGAGGGGGGAGGATCAGAGGCAGAAGCAGGCTTTCCGCTGAGCCAGGAGCCCGATGCGGGACTCGATCCCGGGACTCCAGGATGACGACCTGAGCGGAAAGCAGTCGCTTAACCAATTGAGCCACCCAGGCGCCCCCCGTGTAGGTCTTTAGACACCGTGCCAGCCCTGCTGGGATCATCTGCCCAGCGTGTTCCAACAGCTTTATGGACTCGGTCCGTATGTGAGCTGTAGATCCAGCTGTGCCAAAAGAATAACAGTCTGTGACACACGCTTGTCTGAAGTCCCCAGTGTGGGAGGATGGAGAATTGTAGCTTCGACTAGGATCCTTTTCTGCTATATTCTGAGGGGAGCTCAGAGCCACAAGTCATCTTTTTGTCTCTAGGATTCTGGGTACCTCTACATAACTGATTCCATAATTACTTGAGAACTTTGGTTTCCTTATTTTAATCGTGATATAATCGACCCACAACGTTATATTAGTTTCTGGTACAACGTAACTCTTCGACGTTTGTATATATTGAGAAGTGACCACAGCAAGCCTAGTTAACATCTGTTCCCACACACGTTACAAAGTTTATTTTTCTTGTTATAAGAACTGTTAAGATCTACTCTCTTAGCAACTTTCAAATATGCAATACAGGGTTGTTAGCTCTAGTCCCCATGCTGTGTGTTCCATTCCCCAGGACTTATTTATATTATAACCGGACGTGCGTACCTGTTGAACACCTTCACCCTTTGTTAGGAGTCCCATCCCATTCTGCTTCTGGCAACCACCAGTCTCTTCTCTGTATCTGTGAACTTGGTTTTTTTAATTCTCTTCTTGTGATCCACATATAAGTGAGATCATATGGTATTTGTCTTTCTCTGACTTATTTCATTTAGCATATTGCTCTGAAGGTCTATCCATGGTGTCACAAGATTTCCTTCTTTAAATAAAAAAAAGACTGATTTTATTTATTTATTTATTTATTTATTTATTTATTTATTTATTTATTTATCTAGAGAGAGCGTGTGAGCAAGGGGAGGAACACAGGGAGAGACAGAAAGAGAATTTCAAGCCCATTCTGAGCCGAGCACAGAGCCCGACGCGGGGCTCCATTTCAAGACCCGAGATCACAACCTGAGCCTAAATCAAGAGTTGGGCGCCTAAACAACTGAGCCACCCAGGTGCCCCCAAATCTCCTTCTTTTTAAGAGCTGAATAAAATTCCAGGGCACCTGGGTGGCTCCGTCGGTTAAGCGGCTGCCTTGGGCTGGAGTCATGATCCCAGAGTCCTGGTATCGAGCCCCGCATCTGGCTCCCTGCTCATTGGGAAGTCTGTTTCTATCTCTGCCTGCCGCTCTCCCTGCTTGTACTCTCTCTCTCTCAAATCTTTTAAAAAAATAAAAAACATAGGTGAATAACATTCCATTTTACATACATACCACATTTTCTTTTTCCATTCATCCATGGAGGGACACTTAGTTTGCTTTGCTTTAGCTTTGTAGATTAGGATAAGGAGGACTGACTTGCAAATCTCCTGTAAACTACAATGTGGCAATGATCTGTCCTCCTGGTGGAATCTGTGGAATTATACAGATTATAGATTTTATATATATTTATATATATTTTATATTATATATAATACAATTATATATATTTTGGGAAACATTCTCAGATTCTCGGTGTTCTTGAGAATGACATAGGTTGCTTTTTGAGACTGGAGATTCCTTTGGATGCCTGGGTGGCTCAGTCGTTAAGCGTCTGCCTTCGGCTCAGGTCATGATCCCAGGGTCCTGGGATCGAGTCCCACATCAGGCTCCCTGCTCAGCGGGGAGCCTGCTTCTCCCTCTCCCTCTGCCTGCCACTCCCCCTGCTTTTGCTCTCTCTCTCTGACAAATAAATAAAATCTTTAAAAAAAAGGAAAGAAAATGGAGATCCCTGGTGTGTATGTTCCTTCGGCCAAGTCTCAGATAAACACACTCCTTTTAGTGGGAGGAGCTGCAAGGGGTGGGCAGAGGGTGTGGATGGGTCACTCTACCACTGGGTAGGCAGGAAGATTAAGAAAAGGGATTCAATACAACACAAATTGTCGCTTACTTGATATGGAGTCCTAACTGCGAATCCTTGAATGTAAAGTAAGTATTTATTGAATGAATCTCAAATTCCTTCAACCTCAGATTTTGCATGTGCGCAGGGGCTTATCACACACACACACACACACACACACACACACACACACCCCTATACCTCAGGGAACCTACAGGATCCTGGACAGCTCCAGACAGGCAGCAGCAGTGAGGGAGGGAGCACACGATGCCCGTGGGGCAGGTGTCCCTGAGGGGTGGGGGCCTGCAGGGAGAGGGGCAGGGACCGTGGAGCTGGGTGCTGACACCCTGGGAGGAACAGAGTACATCTCTGTAGCAGCTGTGCAGAGAGGCTCCCCTGGGCCGCGCTGCCAGTGTCTTGGCCCCAATACCACACCTGCACTAGGGTGTGGAATTTGCAGTCTGTGCCCCAGATGGGTGGGACTGAGGTTGACGGCGACATCCAAGGAAAACTCGTCATTCCAAACTCAAAAGCCTGTGCCTAGAAAATAAGAAAATACCCGTGTATTCCCCTATGGATTTCCCAGGGCAACACTATCCCAGTTGAAATGAGCAGGCAGTTCCGTCATTTTCCTGGTTCCTCTCCCATGGGTGGACTTGCGGGCTCGCAGAGTAGCTAACAATTGTTCCTGCATCCTCTCCTTTGTGCGGCAGCGGCCCCCTCCCGGCAGATGATTGATACTCAGGACAGAGAGCCTGGTCCCGCGGCCTCCAGACTGGTGGGGACAGAGGGGCAATGACTGCTCTGAGGCCCCGGGAGGTCGGGACAGCTGGGCACAGCGAGCTGCCCAGGTGTGAAGGGGACAAAGAGCTAGCTGATGTAGGATTGGCTTGGTGAGCAGGAATGAGGCACCTCAGCAAGCAGCGCTGGGCGGGGAGGTGGGGTGAGCAAATGTTTGCAGGGAAAAGGCTGAAGTCTCCAGAGGAAAACCTCTCAGTTAGTGAATCAGTGGCCGCTGCTGTGTCCCACGTGTGCGCCCATCACCTAACCACTCCTCCCTCCAGAAATGACGGTCTCTCCTCAGCCCCCCTGCCCGAACTCTCCTGTGCTCCCTCACTGTCCAAGTCTGAGGGGACTTCGGGGTCTCATTCCTGCACTGCAGTCAAGGGGTGGGGAGTTCGGGTTCCCCATGGACAGCCCAGCAGTGGTGTCCTGCAGAGCCAGGCCAGGCAAGACCTCAACTCTCCTAACGTCTTGGGGCCTAATCTGGAGTTGGGGGTAAAGCCTGAACACCACCTGCTCCCTCAGGCCCGGAGAGATCCTGTGCCATGTCAGTGAATGACACCCCTCTCCCAATTCTTCCAGGTAAGAAGGTTCTTGAAATACCCAGGAGGCCTAGTCTGGAATGTTCCACAGAAGCCCCACCAAGGCCCACATGCACAGATCCTAAGTGACAGGGCCTTTAGGGACACAGGCTCACAGTCATTTTCCCCAGGGCCCACTCATGGGTCTGGGGCATCTGGCCCTGAGTGTCCAGCCTACATTGCCCACTGTCCCTGGCACCATCCCCTCTCCAATGCCTTGGACCTGGGGTTGGTTCCAGGTCCCCAGTCCATTCTGCTATGTCCTCCATTGTGAGGTTCTTCTCTGGGGACCCTGATTTCTTCCCCCCAGAGCTTCCTTCTGAGCAAATCTTAAGAGTATTTGAGGGTTGGGGGTTGTGGCAATGAAAACACTTGCATTGGTCTCAGGAGATGGGAAAGGGGGACAAGAAGGGTTCAGGGAGGAGCGTGAGTGCCCTCTAGTGGATTGTTCCTGCTGGTGGAGGAGCAAAGAGGGCCCTGAAGGGGAGACAGTAGGGCTCAGCCTGGACAAAGGGCACAGTCAGGTTCCAAAGGAGGCATATTTAAGGGAGATTAATGTATGGCTACCTTGGCTCACCAGCTGGAAGATTGGTTTTGCAAAAAGTGTAACCATACATCAGAAGGATACCCACTGGGTTATACTGCCAAGTCGGCTGAGGGAAAACTGTAGACATTAGGATACAAAAACATACATGAGCACAAATCTATCTGCAATGTCATTGGACAGTGTTCTCTGATGTTCTCACCATTTGAGAGGCATCTTAGCAATGATTGCAAAGTCATATAATCATTTGGAAGAAATAACAAGAAGAACATTAGGGGCACCTGGGTGCCTCCTGTGGGTGAGGGGCGGACTCTTGATTTTGACTCAGGTCATGATCTCAGGGGTGAGATTGAGCCCCCAGTGGGCTCCACGATGGGCATGGAGTTTGCTTAAGATTCTCTCTCTCCCTCCGCCTCTTCCCACTTCCCCTCACGTCCCAGGCTCACTCCCTCTCAAAAAAAAAGTACATTATATCACAGGAGTGTCTAGCTTCAGAATCATATACCTTGGCAGCATTCCTTATGTATGAATCTACACCCCACAGAATGGAGTTTAGTCGTGGACTGGCCAGTGTTGGTCTGGTTCCCAGCACCTGTGGGCTGACAGCACCCTGCCCTCCAATCCTGGGCCCGTCTCTGAACCACAGGAGCCTCTGATGCTCCGTCACTTAAGGGAGTGGCCTTTTCAGTGCCCTCACCAAGCACCCAGCCACCTCTGGATTCAGCGGGGTCGAGGCACGGGTTATCCCTGCGAGTGCGCGGGTCGCTGATTGGCAGGTGTGGGGCCCCCGGGGGCTCCCTTGTGGCTCAACCCGGGCCATCACCAGAGCCTCGATCCCCTGGACACAGGCCACGTCCACCGACATAGATTGAGAAGTTCAGGAAACCGAATCTCTTCCAGAAAGCACCGACCCACACTCAGCTCTTACGGGCAGCAGGCTGGAGCTCCAGGGCCCAGCCCGCACCGGTTCTGCCCAGACCCCGTGACCACCCGCCAAGATGCGGCAGGATGGGACACGCGAGTCCCAGCACGTGGGGGTCACCTCGGTGTGGAGGCGCTTCTCCAGGAGGCGGCCCCGATCCTATAACCGAGCCCTTCTGTCCCACACGAAGAAGGTTACATGAGGATGGACGCACCCGAGAGGGCCCGGATCCCTGTGCCAGGGAGACTGTGCTGAGGCAATGGGAAGACAGAAGACAAGCTGTGTCAAGGTACCAGCCAGGAGAGCAGCACGCGGAACCGGGGTGCAGGCCATCTGCAACAAAGCCCCTGATGAGAAATGGGGCGGTGCTCTCCTTGTGCCCAGTGGGGACTCTGAACAGACACTGCTCCAGTGACAATGTCTCGGAGGATGAGACGGCAGCCAGGTCAGATATCCAGGCGTCCCTGTCTGCACCCAGCAAGAGAAGCTCAATAAACACATGTGGAATCCATAAGGACCACCACACCATAGAAGCATGTCACCCATGTGTAACACCGGCGGTCAAAGTCCGTTCCCTGCAGACCCAGGCCGCTGGCATCAGCATGGGAGGGGGCCAGCACGTGCCTAAGGCTGTCCCAGAGACGGGTCCTTCCCCCTTCTAGATTCAGGAGGGAGGACAGAGGCCTCCTGACAGTGAGCATCAGATACCCATTCATTCCCAGAATGACATCCCCCACTCCATCTCTACCTTGTGAGCCACTTCTCCTTTCCCTGGGGATCCTGGGTGGGCAGCCTGTGTCCTTCCTCTTCTCTCAGAGATCTGACCTGGCACAAAGTAGATCTTGACCCCAGGTGGAGTTACCATCAGGAGGTCAGAGCCCCACTCTGACCTTAAAGGAAGTCAGGAGGTAACTCCTCATCCCTAGGGTCTCTGGTCTGTGGGGACCTGGCTATGGTCCCCTGAAGACATCTTACCACCCCAGGAATCCTGGGGAATGAGGGGAACTTCCCATGCACGATGGGACAGGAGAACCCAGGATGTGAATTTGCTTCCATCTCAGAGGGGCTGAGGGTCCCATGGAGGCCAGACTCCCTGGTTGAGTCTCCAGGTGGAGCTGCTCCAGCTCCTGGGCCTGATGGGGAGGCCTAGAGCAAAGAGACGGACAGCTGTAACTTGAATGCAACAGGCCTCAGTGCTGTGATGGGGGAGCAGGGCATTCTGACGTGCCCTCTCCCAAAAGCCAAAAGAGACCCTTCCTTGGCCCTTCCTTTGGAAGTCTGGGAACAGAGAGCACCACCAGAGGCAACACATCCCCCTGGGTAGACCGTTCTGATGTTGGATCAGGAATCTTCTGGGCAACAACTGTCCTCTCCTGGGCCTTACCCTGCACTGGGATGGAGTCAAGAAGCCTGGGACCCACAGAGACCAGGATCAGGGCTGACCAGCCCATCAGCCTGAAGGTCAGCCCATCTCTGCCCAGGGCTTAGGGCCCCTCTCTTCCTTTGGAGCCTGGTCGGCATCCCTGGTGCAGCCCCTGACATCACCTCCAGGGGGCGACATTGGGACGCACAGACAACACAGGAAATCCACACCTGAAGTCCGCTTTGGCTAAGGAGGTGGATAAGGAGCCTGACTTCTATCCCCTGTTCCAACAGACACTTATGGGTTCCTACCATGTGCCTGTTCTGTCCTGTGTGCTCCTTCGTGAGGCCTCGAAGGACTCTGCTCTGTCAAGAGTCCCTGTGCAGCTCCCCACTCCCTACCTGGCACCACCCATGGGCAAAGGCAAGTGACCACAGGAAAGCCCCCAGGCAGAGGACAGAGGCTGCCCGGGATGGTCAGCAGCCTGAATGATATTCTATTGTGCTTATCCATTAATTCGTTGATGGCATTTGGGTTGTTTCCACATTTTGGCTCTCTTCTACGAAGATGGGTGTACAAATATCTCTTTCAGTTCCTTCTTTCGTTTCTTTAGGGTATATACTCAGAAGTGAAATTACCAGACCATATGGCATTTTTATGTACAATATTTGGAAAATCACAATACCGTTTTCCATAGTGTTTTCCACAGTACCGTTTTCCATTTTACCGTCCTGTCAAAAATGCACAAGGTTCCAAATTCTCCGCATCCTCTCCAGCAGTTGTTGTTTTCTGGGCTTCTTTGATACTAGCCATTCTAATTGGTGTGAGGGAGTATATCACTGTAGTTTTGATTTGCATCTCCCTGATGATTGGTGATGTTGAGCTACTTTTTATGTGGTTATTGGCCATTTGTATGTCTTCTTCGGCGAAATGTCTATTCAAGAGCTTTTTGCCCATTTTAAAATCAGGTTTAAATTTGGTTTTGTTGTTGCTTAGTTGTAGGAGTTCTTTGTATATTCTGGTCATTAACCCCTTGTCTGATACATGATTTGCAAGTTATTTTCTCTCATTCTGTTACTGGTGGGAGGTTAGCGCTGTGGTGGTCTCGGTTCTTGGATTCCCCACGAAAGGTTTCCGTGAGGACCCATGCTCGAAAAAGACGGCCAGAAGGAAGGAAGTAGGCACAAAGCAGTTTCTCAAGGACAGGACCCTCGCAAGATGGGAGAGTGGACAGGCCCAGAAACGGCAAGTGCCCCAGGCTTAGGGGTGTCTCTTTATGTTTGTATAGGTTATGGATCACAGCTGGGGTTGTTTCCTGTCATCTCAGAGACTCCCCCTACCGGTTGGGAGGAGGAGTTGTCGGCCCTACAAGGTTCTTGCAGGAGCTGTCCTGGCTGTCTTCCCCCAGGGTGGAGGGCGGGGGTGGGGGTGGGGGAGGGTGTCCAGAGGGCAGTGTAAATATATGATAAAGAAGCTACAGGTTATTGTAGGACACAGGCTAGACAGGAGAGCGCATGCCCTGCACCTGTTGTTCTTGGCCCCGGAAGGTGGGGAAACCATGAAACCACTCTGTACACCATCCTTTCTCCAGCTCATATCTAGCTCACTGCCTGCCTGCTCTATCAAAGTCCACAGGTTGATCCTGCTTCTCCCCCTCCCACTCCCCCTGCTTGTGTTCCTTCTCTCACTGTGTCTCTCTCTGTCAAATAAATAAAGAAAAATCTTAAAAAAAAAAAAAATTCCATAGGTTGCCTTCCACTCTGTTAATTGTGTCCTTTGATAAATGGGCTTTTTTTTTTTTATGTTGATGCAAGTCTGGTTTATCTATTTTTTTTTCTTTTTCTTTTTTTTTTTGCCTGTGTTCTTAGTGTTCTATTCAAGACATCACTGCCAAATCCAATGTCATGAAGCCTTGCCCCTATACCTTCTTTTAAGAGTCTTATAGTTTTAGGTCTTACCTTTAGGATTTGGTCCATTTTGAGTTAATTTCTGTAGGTGGTATAAGGCAGTGGTCCACCTTCATTTTTTTGCATCTGGATATCCAGTTTTCCAACACCATTTGTCGAAAAGATGGTCCTTTTTCCATTAAAAGGTCGTGGCACCCTTGTCTAAAATAATTTCATCAAATAATTGGGGCTTTTCATCTGGGCTCTCTATTGTATTCCATGGTATCTATATGTCTTTATGCCAGCACCATACTCTTTTGATTCCTTTAGCTCTGTAGTAAGTTTTGAAAGTGGGAAGCACGAGACCTCCAATTTTGTTCTTTTTTAAAGATTGTCTTAACTATTTGGGATTCCATACGAATTTTAGGATGGATTTTCCTATTTATGCAAAAAAGTCACTGGCATTTTTCATAGGGATTATATCAAATATGTACATAGTTTGGGGTAACGTTGACATCTTAATATTAAGCCTTGCAATCCATGAACATGGATGTCTTTCTCCTTATTTGGGTCTTCTTTAATTTCCTTCCGAACACCTGGTAGCTTTCAGTGTATACATCTTTCACCTCCCAGGTTAAGTTTATTTCTAAGCATTTTATTCTTTTTGATGCTATTATAAATGGAATAAGCTCCATCCCTTCTCTCCACAACTTTGTCATGTCAGTGTCCCCAGAGAAGCCTGGGGACAAGACCTGGGTCCAAGAAATACACAGGATCAAAGAAAGGGGAGAGGGAGGTTGGAGGGAAAGGGGCTACATGGGGTCCATCTGGGCCCTGCAGGTTCTCCCTCCCAAAGGCATGTCCTGGGGACACTGGCCAAGCGGAGGCCCCTGCATTGCTCAGGCCACTCACTATGTCCTTCTCCATCCCTGATATGGCTGGACCCCCTTAGGATGTAAATTTGGAGGAGCCAAGTCCTTTGGACATGTGTCTGAGAGACACATAAGAAAACATTTCTTATCTCCAGGACAGGGAAAGGGGGGCTGGGGCTCTGGCTCCCCCATGTTTTACGGGAGGCGCTGACCCTGGGTTGCCAGGGTACTGCCACATTTCCATCTGCCAAGGGTCCCATCCTAGTTGCCCTGGAGACCCTGGGGGCTCAGGCCCTGCAGGGGCAGTGCACCCTGGAGAGAAGCTGGGCCCAGGGGAGTTATTCCTCTGTGCATGAGAGACTGCCACACGGCTCTGCCTGGATGTTTTAAATATTTGGTACTTGGTTAAAAATAATACTTCTAGCAAAACTTATGGGATACAGCTAAAGTGGTGCTCCCAAGGGAATTCATTGCCATAAATGCTGATACTGGAAAAGGCTGATTACAAATGAGTTCATCATCCAGCTAAAGGAGTTGGGATAAAACAAAGGGAAGGAAGAAAGTGACCATAAACTTCAGAGAAAAAAATAATAAGCTAGAAGACAGATACAGAATCAAGAAGATCCACACACCCCAAAATTCCTTTTTTTGAAAAGGTTTCTCAATTTTTAACACCTCTGGAAAAGTTCATCAGCAAAACAATAGAGGAAGCACAAATAAGCTACATTAGTCACAGGAAATAGTGGCCATCGCTAAAGCTGCAGCAGAGATTGAAGAGTCTAAAAAATCTTCATGGCTGGGGCGCCTGGGTGGCTCAGTCAGAAGAGCATGTGACTCTTGGTCTTGGGGACATGAGTTCGAGCCCCATAAAGATTGGGGCGCCTGGGTGGCTCAGTCGTTAAGTGTCTGCCTTCGGCTCAGGTCATGATCCCCGGGTCCTGGGATCGAGCCCCGCATCAGGCTCCCTGCTCCACGGGAAGCCTGCTTCTCCCTCTCCTACTCCCTCTGCTTGTGTTCCCTCTCTCACTGTGTCTCTCTCTGTCAAATAAATAAATAAAATCTGGGCGCCTGGGTGGCTCAGTCGTTGAGCGTCTGCCTTCGGCTCAGGTCATGATCCCAGGGTCCTGGGATCGAGTCCCACATCGGGCTCCCTGCTCTGCGGGAAGCCTGCTTCTCCCTCTCCCACTCCCCCTGCTTGTGTTCCTGCTCTCGCTATGTCTCTCTCTGTCAAAAAAATAAACAAAATCTTTTAAAAAAAAAAATAAATAAAATCTTTAAAAAATAATAATAAAAAAATAATAATAAAAAATCTTCATGGCCATAACTCACAATTTAGACAAAACTGACAATGTTCCTAGTAAAATTAGAAATAACATAAGCTGGGCGCCTGGGTGGCTCAGATGGTTGGGCATCTGCCTTTGGCTCAGGTCATGATCCCAGGGTCCTGGGATCGAGTCCCGCATTGGGCTTCCCGCTCCTTGGGAGCCTACTTCTCCCTCTGTTTCTCTCTGTCTCTCATGAATAAATAAATAAAATCTTTAAAAAAAAAAAAAAGAAATAACATAAACTAACTCATGAAGATATAGGAAATCTGACCTGTGCTATAACTATTAAAGGAAATTTAGTTAATAGTTAAAGTGTTTTTACACACACACATACACACACGTGCACACACACAGAAAATACAGACGGCTTTAGAATGAATATGAAGGGGGGCGTCTGGGCGGCTCAGTTGGTTAAGCATCTGTCTTCGGCTCAGGTCATGATCCCGGGGTCCTGGGATCGAGCCCCGCCTCGGGCTCCCTGCATGGTGGGGAGCCTGCTTCTCCCTTTGCCTGCCGCTCCCCCTGCTTGGGCTCTCTCTCTCTCTGACAAATAAATAAATAAAATCTTTAAAAACAATGAAATAAAATGAATATGAATATCTCTATGGAGGAAAAATAGGAACCCTAACTCACACCATGCAATCTTTTAGAAATCTATTTAAATTTATTAAATTAGAATTTCTGGTCTTCAGAAGACACCCAATTCTCTCTCCCTCTCTCTTTCATACATATGCAAGTTACATATGTGTGTGTGTGTGTGTGTGTATCTACAGGATGAAGCCATGTCCAAAGTGCATTACAGAATCTTCCAAAAGCAATAAGAAAAAGACTGACAATCCAATTGTTTAAGATGGCTAATAACTCTAAGAGACACTGAACAGTAGAACATGTGAAAATAGCCAACAAGCATATGAAAAGCTGCATTTGCTTTACTGTTTATTTGGGAAGCACACAGTAGAACCCTTATGAACTATCATGTCAGCCACACGAGAATAGCTGAAATTAAAAGACTGACAATACCAAGAGTTGGAACATCAGAAAGTGTAAACACTGCGGGTGGGGTTAAAGATTGGTTCAACTATCTGGCAGGAGAATCTAAAATTTCTATATATTTTAGAAGATGTTCCAGCAAATACAATGGTATCTACGCCCGAGGAAATGAGTTAGATACATTAGAACTGCAACAGACATGCATAAGAATATTCATATCAGTATTATTCAGAAGAGCCAAAGAGTAGAGGAATCCAAATGTCCAACGGTACAATGGGCAAAGACTGTGATGTATTCAAACAATATTAAGCAACATGAAAAAGGAGTGAATTGAGGCTACACAACAACGTGGATAAATCCCACAGCACAGACTTGAAGGAGAGCAGCCAAATGCAGAAGGGAACAAATTGATTCTACCAATCTCTGGCGGTAGAGGTCAGACCGGAGGTGATGGTGAGGGTCCTAAGGGCGAGGAGGGGCATGAGAGCATTTCCTGGTGTGGGGAACGTTCTCTACTTTGAGCTGGGCAATGGTTTCATAGGCACACACCTATGCAGAAATTTATTGCAATGTTCATGTTACTTAACAAAAAAAGTATAAAATCTCTTCAGGTCACACAAAAAAGCAACATCCACAAAACAATCAAAGACCAGCTCATTCCAAACTTCAACAATTCTTCCAGAGAACAGGACAAATACGGAACACTCACAAACTCATTTTATGTGGCAGTATAACCTTCACGTCAAAACGAGACCAGGAAAGAATGAGGAAGTAAAGGTGTAGCCTTTCTCATGACCAGGGATGAAAAATCCCCAAATGAAATGCTACCGAAATGGATCAGGAATTACCAAGCTGAATTTCTTGCCCAAATTGCAAGGTCGATTTAGCATTCAAAATCAACCATTGCCTTCTACCACATTAAGACATTAACCAGAAAATCATTACTAACGGCGAGAAGAGAAGCAAAATGTCCTTTGATGAGGTTCCACACCCACTCAGATTGGGGCAATAGGGAAACCAATGGCAAACTATTCCAGGAGGGGAGCTCTTGGCCTGCTGAAGGCCACTACGACCTGCAGCAAGCACCAAGTTACTGGAGGATCCTTAAAAACATCAATTTCATCAGGAGTGGGGCAAGGCTGTCTGGGTTCATCACCTGAACTCCAAACCCCTGGGCCTCAGCCCTGTTCCAGATGCTCTCCCTGGGCCACACCCAGGGGCAGAGCCACAGGCAGGGCTGGTGAGCAGAAGCCCTGCTGGGGTCAGAGCATCCTGAAAACACCTGGGCCTGAGGGAGGACGGCTCCCTCGAACCAGAGAACCAGACTCACGGCTCTGACCTCAGACTGCAGATGGCCGTGATGTGTAGCAGGTTTCCTAAATGCACCAGAGGAAAGGGGGTCACCGGTAGACACTCTTCCTGTAGCTGATGTGGAGATAGTGAGGACAACGTGCTGGGCCTCCTATGGCGTCGCCCCAAACCGGCCCAGATCTCTCCTCCCACAGTCCATTAGCCTCAGCAAGCATACAGCTAAGCTTGAGATGAATGAAGGAATGGGGGTGGGGGTGGGGGGACATGCTCCTCTTCCAGTGGGAAGAACTGCAAGGTCGCAGACAAAGGGTATGGGTGTATAATTCCACGACAGGGAGGGCAGGGACAGTTAAGAAAGGTGATCCAGTCCTTCAGAGTCATGGACTTACAGTCACTTCCCGCAGTGCCAACAGGGAGAGTGGGGGCATCTTGTTCTGCACGTCCTGCCTAAGCTGCCCACTATGTGTGGAACCATCCCCTCCCCATGACTTGGGCCCTGGGGCTGCTTCTGGCTCACCAGTCCATCTCCCCACAGTCCTCCAATGTGAGAGTCCTCGCCTCCCATCCTCATCCCTCATCCCCCATTCCATGACATTCTCTTGCCCTCAGCTAAAGAGGATGGCTTTTCCATAGGCCTTTGACCCAGGCAACCCCAGACATCCAAAACTTCCCCTAACTCTGTCATATGAGCCCAGGGAGCAGCTGGGAATGAGGACTCCAAGGACACGCACATCCTCCGTCCCCTACCTCCTTGCATTGGCTTCTCAGTCACCTGGCCTGAGTTCCCTTCAAATCAAAAGCCTCAGCACGAAGTACCTCACACTCTCGGCCAGGCACAGGACATTCCCATGCAACACACACACCCCAAGAGAGGAGACCCTCCAGACTGACCATGTCAGGCCTGACCAGAGGGTGCACATCCAGGGGTATTTCCTCACCTGGCTCACTCCCCTCGGGCACTCCAGGAGAATCTGAGACTCTTTGTGGAATAGTCTCTCCCTCCCCTGGGGTTCCATGCACTGGGACACCTCTCTGAGGAAAGTATCTTCAAATCCTCCCCCACTCAGCTTACCAGTTCACTGCTAAGTTTTGCATCTGTATTTGTTTATTTTGACACACCCATGAGTTCTCTGCATCAGAGAATAGCCCTGAGACTCAGAGACAGAGGAAGGGATCCAAAGGCTAAGGGAGACTGGAACGTGGCGTGGACTTAGCACTTAAGACCTGCTCATCCAGGGGCGCCTGGGTGGCTCAGTTGGTTAAGCGACTGCCTTCGGCTCAGGTCATGATCCTGGAGTCCCGGGATAGAGTCCCACATCGGGCTCCCTGCTCCGCAGGGAGTCTGCTTCTCCCTCTCCCGCTCCCCCTTCTTGTGCTCTTTCTCTCTCTCACTCTCTCTCTCAAATAAATAAAAAAAATCTTAAAAAAAAAAAAAAGACCTGCTTATCCACCCTGGCTGGGAGAGTTCAGAGGACACACCTTAGTCTTTCATGACTGTGAGGTATGAGTTCACAGCACACCTGAACAGCTCTGTGATTGCTCTTCTCTGTAGGTCAGAAATTACAATGGAAGCTGCTGCCACTGAACTGGGAAACCTAAATGCAATGTCACCATAATGGACAGCAGACCCAAAGCAGCAATCAGAATGGTCAGATTCACGGGGAACAATGACAATGACGTTGGCTAGGTGATCATGATGTTCCTAGAAATGAGATAGATGGGAAGCTACTAAATTCTTACTTGGTCTGTTTAAGGAGAGTTCTAGGTCAAGTGAACAAAAGTCTATCTTGAATCATAGCAACTGAGTTTTATGGCCCTCAGTCAATTCCCAGACTTGAGCCAGTTTAAAGAGCCAGAACTCCTTGAATAAAGGAGGGGCCAGGTCCCCTTGAGGAAGGGCCCCAGTATGCTGCTAAAAATGTATACTGTTAACCTTTCTCCCAGTCTTCCCCAGAGGGACCTGTGGCCTTTTACCAAGTTGATGGTCACTGGAGAAAAGCAAATAGCTCTTTGGGGCACTGAAAGACATGAGCTCTAAACTGAGGACTCAAATGTCACAGTGGCCCACCAGTCAGAGGAGGGGCTTATGGAGCTCAGGTGGTCCATGGAGTCTGAGCTCAGGTCCAACTCACAGTGGGCCTGGGCAGGGGGCGGGGGGAGGCTGAACCAATCCTGTGGTTATTTCCCACAGTCATACTCAACAGCTAGCAGAATCCCCACATTGGTTCCCACTCTGTGGAGTAAGGGCTATTATGGTGGGAAAGGCCAAGTGGAAAGCACTAGAACTACTTAGGAAAATGGTAAACTGAAAGCAATACCACATTCCCCGAGGGACTGCAGAGATTAGTGCAGCATCACGGACTTGAAGGACACATGGGTCTTCGAGAGTGACAACGGATTATCCTAAGCTTAACCAGGTGGTAACTCCAGTTGCTGCTGCTATGTGTTGTACCAGACGTGGTTTCCTTGCTTGAGCAAATTACCACCTCCCATGGTGCCTGGTGTGAAGCTAACCATCTGGCAAATACTTCTTCCTCCATACCTGTTAGTAAAGACCCACTGGAGTCAGTTTGCTTTCAGCTGGCAGGGCCAGAAATGCATTTTCACCGTCCTACTCCAGGGGCACATCAACTCCCCAGCCCTGTGTCATACTTTAGTTCACAGGGATCTTGATTGCCTTTCCCTCTCACAAGATCATCACCCTGGCCTTTCGCACGGATGACATTATGCTGATTGGACCCAGTGAGCAAGAACTTAGCAGCGACTCTAGACTTCTGGGTAAGACATTTCTGTGCAGAACATGGGAAATAAATCAAACAAAAATTCAGGGGCCTTTTACCTCAGTGAAATTTCTAGGGGTCCGGGAGGGAGGGACCTATCAATCTACCTCTTCTATTTTTTGTTAAAGATTTTATTTATTTATTTATTTTAAATTTTATTGTTACGTTAGTCACCAGATTTTATTTATTTATTTGAGAGAGAGAATGGGAGAGAGAGCATGAGCAGGGGGAGGGGCAGAGAGAGAGGGAGAAGCAGGCTCCCCGCTGAGCAGGGAGCCCGATGTGGGACTCGATCCTCATGACCTGAGCTGAAGGCAGTTGCTTAACCATCTGAGCCACCCAGGCGCCCCCAATCTACCTCTGATAAACTGAAGGATCAGTTGCTGCACCCTGCCCTTCGTACCACCCCAAAACAAACTGCAACACCGAGTGAGCCTCTTTGGATTTCGAGGTAACATGTTCCCCATTTAGGGGTGCTACTCTGGCTCATTTACCAAGTGACCCAAAAAGCTGCTAGTTTTGAGTGCTGCCAGAATAAGAGAAGGCTCTGCCGCAGGTCCCCCTCTGTGTGAACTGCTCTGCCATTTGGGCCACGGAGCCCAGCAGGTCCAGAGGTGCTGGAGCGGCCAGGGTTGGTGTTTGGACCCCTTGGCAAGCCCACAGAAGTGAATCACAGTGCAGGCCCCTTAGGCTTGTGAAGCAAAATCTTGCTATCCTCTCGCTAACTGCTCTCCTTTCGACAAACAGCTTTTGGCCTGCCACCGGACCTTAGTACAGACTAAATGCTTAACCACGGGCCACCCAGTTACCACGTGACCGAAGCGGTCTATGCACTGGGGAATAGGAAATATACTCAGAGCCTCTGGAGGTTACTGGACAGAGGCTCTGCACTGACACTAATTCCATCGTGGACTGGGTGACACACCAGGCCATAAAGCCAGGCATACACAGCGGCGCTCCCTCATCAAGTGCAAGTGGGAAATGAGATGATCAAGCTTGGCCAGCCTTGAAGGCACGTGTGGCACGTGAAGAAATGGCCCGGGTGCCCACACTCCCCACTCCTGCGACACTGCCTTCTCTCTCCCAGCCACACCTGTGGCCTCACGGCGAGTCGTCTATGATCAGTTGATGGAGGGAGAGAAACCTCGGGCCTGGTTTACAGATGGTTCTGCGTGCCAGGCAGATAGCACTCGACGTGGACAGCTGCAGCACGACAGCCCCTTTCTGGAACATTCCTAACGGGCAGGGGCGAAGGGAAATCCTCTCGATGGGCAGAGCTTCAGCCAGTGCACCGGGTTGTTCATTGTGCTTGGAAGGAGAAATGGCCTGATATGTGGTTGTATACCGACTGTGGCCAATGATCTGGCTACATGGCCAGGGACTTGGAAGGAACATGGTTGGAAAACTGGTGACAAGGAGGTCTGGGAAAAAGGTATGTGGATAGACCTTTTTGAACACTCACCATGCATGTTAGCATGGGAGGGTTTTAATACTTAAGTGGATCCGTGGCCTGTTCCGTGGTTATCGCTCAGCCTCTTGCCCTAGCCAACCTGTCATTGCCCGGGGGCTCATGAGCAAAGTGGCCACGGTGGCGGGGCAGGTAGAGTTTATGCACAGGTTCGGCAACATGAACTTCTGCTCACCAAGGCCAACCTAGCTATGGCCACCACTGAGTGCTCCATCTGCCAGCTCAGAGACCAACGCTGGGCCCCCGATATGGCCCCATTCCCCAGGGTGACCAGACCGCTGCCTGCTGGCAGGTTGATGACATTGGACCATTTCCATCATGGAAGGAGCACTGTTTTGTTCTTACTGGATAGGCACTCACTCTGGATACGGATTTGCCTTCCCTACACACAAAGCTCCTGACAAAACGACCACCCACGGATTCATAGAATGCCTTATCGACTGTCACAGTGTCCCACACAGCACTGCTTCCGATCAAGGGACTCACTTCAGAGCAAATGAAGTGCAGCAATGTGTGTGCTCACGCATCATACGATCCGGAAGCAGCTGTCTTGAGAGAAAAGTGGGATTGGCCCTTTGGACACTCAGGGACAGCACCAGCTAGGGTTGGGGGGAGGAACTCCAGGAGGCTCTGCATGCTCTGGGTCTGTGTCCAGTCTGTGCTGTTTCTCCCACAGCCAGGATTCTCACATCGAGGAATCGAGGGATGGAAATGGGAATGACACCACTCTCTATACCTCTCACGATCCACTAGCAAAATGTCTGTTTCCCGTCCCTGTGACATTATGCGCTGCTGACCTAGAAGTGTTAGTTCCAAAGGGAGGAATATTTCTACCAGGAGGTACGGTAATGATTCCATTGACGCATCACTCCAGGGCGTCCAGAAAGTGCAGCACCTGGACGAACGCCGATCTCAGCTTCACCTCTCTTCTGTCACAAATGACAGCTAGAGGGCCCAGAGATCGTGAGGGGCCAGCGACCACAGGAGCAGCTGCCTGGAGCAGAAGCAGGTGGGGCCACCGGCCGAGGCCAGCCACAGAGGCCCAGAGAGAAGGTGCAGGACAGAACCCCAGGGACGGGGAGTGGGGAGAGGAGAAACCCAGGCCTCAATGTGGGGGTCCTCCTAGGTGCCGGGGAGACCGTGAGTGTGAAGCCGTCTCAGCATTGTGAGGCCCAGGAGGCCCAGGTCCTGATGAACGGGAAGGAAGCAGCTCCCACCTCGCCTGGCCCAGGGACACAGAGAGGTGTGTGGTGCTGTGTGTTCCCAGGGCCAAGAACCCTGGGCTGATGCCAAGTCCCGGGAGTAAGAAGGAAAGTTGACTTGTCCATCTTCCTCCTTCTGCCCCCCTGACACAGACCCTCCCCTCTTGACACGCCCAGGTCCCGGCTTCTCCTTCTTCTCCCCACAGACCCACCACCCAGCATTCCAGCCACACACACTGCCGCCCAGGGACACACACACTATAACTTACCAGAGACAAACACATCAATATACATTCCTGGAAATCTGAGCTTGGTGACAGTTTACTGAGGGAAGAGACAGGGACAATGTACTTACAGCAGCAGAGATTGGGACTCATGAAGCCGGAATATGATGGAGTATTAACATGAGAATGCGATCCATGTGAAATGTCTACAGATTGATGTTGAATAAACGATGCAGAGGGGCTGGGCACCCTGACTCGGCCTTCTACACTTCCCTCCTTGTCCACCAGAGGGCGGCAGAGCTGCTCTACACCTGGGCGCCTTCCTCAGCACCCACAGCCCAGCAGGGTCTGACCCTCCCCAGCCTCACCCAGTCACCGTCCTCCTGGCTCTCCAGGCTCCCCACATTGGACCCCGTCAGCCCCTCTAGCCAGCCAGGCATCTGCCCGCTGAGACTGGTCCCTCTATGGGCAGCTAGTCCCTCCACACCCTCTGCCCTTAGAGGGGCGAAGGTCCACTCACACTTCCGGTCTCAGCCCCAGGTCACTTTCTCAGGAGTGCTCCATGGGACCCCCCATCAGCTAAGACGCCTTCACATCCTCCAGACCCACCAGACACTTTCCCTTCCTGGCCCTTCTCTCGATTCTAATTGACTCCTCAGTGCCATGATTTCCTGACTGCCCATGGCCCTGTTCCAAGGGAAACCCCACGAGTCCAGGGCCCACATCTGTCCTGTTCTCTGTGGAGCTCCCAGGACCCAGCCCAGGGCCTGACACGTCACAGAAGCCCAGTAAATACTCGTTAAATGCATGAGGGGAACCACACAATGGAAGTCACCCCCGGGTCACCTGGGGTCGGAGCCTCTTCCCCGCAGACCCAGGCCCCTGGCATCAGCATGGGAGGGGGGCAGCACGTACCCGAGTCTGTCCCTGTAAAGCTGGCAGGGCTTTCCCCCTCCTAGATTCAGGAGGGACGACAAGGGCCTCCTACAGTTAGAGGTCAGACCCCCATTCACTCCCAGAACACGGACACCCCCTCCCATCTCTGTCTGTGACTGACTTCTCTCCCCAGAGGGCCTGGGTGGGTAGCTGTGTCCTTCCTCTTCTCTCAGAGATCTGACCTGCCACAAATTCTGGATCACCACCCCAGGTGCAGTTACTACCAGGGGAGTTCAGAGCCCTACTCTGACCTCAAAAGACGTCAGGAGGTGACTCTTCATCCTGAGGGTCCCTGGTCTGTGGGGACACCTGCTATGTCTCCCTGAAGGTTTCTCAGCAGCCCAAGGAGTCCTGGGGAACAAGGGGGAAAGTACTGGGCAGGCGGGACAGGAGAACCCAGCATTTGCCTGTGTTTCCCCTGGTCTGAGGGTCTCCTCCCCTTTCACAGAGGCAGCCCTGGGATCCCTCAGCTGAGTGTCTGGGTGAAGCCGCTCCAGCTCCTGGTTCCTGTGGGGAGACCTAGAGCAGAGCAGAGACAGGGTCACAATGGATGCAATCCCACCAGTGCTGTGATGGGGAGACAGGCATTGTAGTGTCCAGCCCTCCAGGCCGGTACCTTTTCACCAAAGTCTCAAAAAACCCCTACTAGGTCATTTCTTGAAATCTCGAGGACAGAGAGCTCCTGCTGAGGGAGCACATCCGTCTGGGTGGACAATTCTTCTGACACAGGATCAGGAATCTTCTGGCAGTGCCTGTACTCTCCCTGGCTCATGCTGCCCTGGGATGCAGTCAGGCAGTCTAGGACACCCAGGGACCAGGACCCAGGCTGACCAGTCCCTCACCTCTGCCCAGGACTCAGGGACCCACTCACATCCTTGGGAGCCTGGTCAGCATTCCTGATGCAGCCCCCAGAACAGCCTCCAGGGGGCGAAATAGGGGCATGCAGACATTAAACCCTGAAGGACCTTACACCCTGAAGCTGGCTTTGGCTAAGGAGGTGGAGAAGGAGCCTGGTTTCCATCCCTTCTCTAACAGACCCTTCTGAATCCCTCCCACATGCCAGTTCTGTCCGCTCTACCTGGAGCCCTAGGAGCTCCCTTATCTGTCAGGGGTCCCTGCACAGCTCCCCATTTCCTGTCCGGCACCACCCATGGGGGAGGTAGGGACACTACAGGAAAGTCCCCCAGGCAGAGGACACAGGCTGCTCGGGACTCTCAGGAGCACATCGACAGTCTCTGGGCCACAGTTCAGCCAACAGACCCTGAGGGAGGGTCTCCTCCAAACCTTCCTGGGGACCCCAGCCACCCGACCTCCCACCACATCCTCTCTTCCCAGGACACAGGAAACCCCCTTCCCACCTGGGAACCGAGCTCCTGAGACACCTGGTCCTGGGTCTCTGTCCCTGGAAGCAGAGGCTGGGCTGGGGACAACCAGGGATGGGCCGACGGTCCCTCACCAGTAATCACCCGGCCTGCCCTTTTCTCACCCCAGGGTCATCTCTGGGGCCTTGCTGCCAGGAGTCAGTCCAACCTCCCCAGACCTGTGAAAACACCGGGGAGACAGATGCCCAGTTGGGCTTCTCTGTCACAAAGGAAATAATCCCCTGGATTTGGGGACCCTGGGGCTCTGTGTGTGGTGCCCACAGACTCAAGGCCAGGACACAGCAGAGGAGTAGGGAGAAGGGCCATCCTCTAAGGGAACCGGGTCCCCCTCAGTCTGGCTATTCAGAGTGTGCTCCCCTTGGGCAGGACGATCAGCATCACCTGGGAGCTTGTTAGAGGCAGACTCTGGGGTCCACACCACACCTGCTGAGTCAGAATCTGCATTTTCACACGGTCTGCAGACCCTCCGTGGGCACAGGAGAGGGAGAGGCGGCCCCACCCCCACATCATGGGGCTCAGTCTGGCTGGGCATCTGCGGAAGCAGCATTTCTGGGTGTCACCTGGGCATCCACAGTCTTGATAAAGTTCCACAGGTGATTCCAGCGCACAGTGGGGGTGACATCCTTGTGACAAGGGTTCCTGAGGCAGCCCCCAGGCTCCTGAAGGGAAAGCCACATGGGGAGGAGAGAGGGCTGTGGGGGCGCTGACCCTGCACCTTGACCGCAGCTGTGGGGGTCACCGGACCCCAACGCCACAGGCTTGTGTTTGTCCAAACAAGGGCGTGTGCGCGCTCTCGCATATGGTGGGAACCACAGCTGAAGACGGAGAGGCCTCAGCAGTTCCCAGGGATCTAAAATGTAGAGGGAAATGAAAGGGGAGGAAGGGGACAAGGGAGTCAGGAGGGAGGGGAGGGCAGGGGAGGGGAGGGGAGGGCAGGGGAGGGGAGGGGAGTGGCCATGGCAGAGACCCCGCCCCCCGGCCCACGTGACCCCGCCCAGCGCTCCTGCCCCCAGAGGCCGCCCAGCTCGGAGGGAGGAAGGACTGCACAGCTGACAGGACAGGACGGCAGTGCTCCTGAGCGTTTCTGGAGCAGAAGCTCTTCCCCCAGAGGGAGGGACGCACCGGGCAGCAGGCACCATGGAGCCCCCGTCGGCCCCTCCCCGAGGAGGACGCGTCCCCTGGCAGGAGGTCCTGCTGGCAGGTGAGAGGGATGATCCCCTCCGAGGGGGCGGGAGGATGGGAGAGAGAGGCTGGCTGGGGTCTCCCGGGGAGGACAGGGCTCTGAGAGGGGACAGGGGAGCAGGGCAGGACGGGAAAATCTCATGATCTGGAAGTGGGGAGCCAAGGGCTGTTTCCCAAGTTACTCATCACTGAGGACTGAATTCTGAAACTGATAACAACAACCAGGGACCCTAATCGCTGCCCCTTCCCATCAACCTGAGATCATGACAGACAAACGCCAGACTTGGAGAGCCCTGGGGACACGTTCATTCAGCGCCGGGTATTTGCAGCCTGCCCCACCCCTGGGGTACAGCACAGATCAGATGAGTCCCTGCCCTCCCCGAACTAACTTCTATGGTGAGGAAGACAGACACACAGAGACGTCTAGAACGTGATGTCAGGTCCTGACAAGCATCATGAAGGGAACAGAGCAGGGAAAGGTCAGAACGTGAAGACTGAGGGTCTTTAGAGGAGGCGCTCAGGGCAGACCTCTCCCCAGGACCCCCTGAGTGGGAGCAAGTATCCAAGGGCTGGGAGGGAGTGAGCGACAGACATGTGAGGAAGAGTGTTCTAAACAGAGGAAATTAAGTTCAGAGGCGCTGAAGTAGTGTGGTCATGCCACTGACCTTGACCAGCAGGAGACACACACTCACACACACACCCCGAGGCTGGGGGATTAGGATCTGCCCTCTCTCCAGAACCCCAGCTTTCCCTCCCAACACCTAGGTCCAAACACTGATCCGTCTTCTCCCTTCCCTCCTAGTCTCACTCCTAACGTTCTGGAACCCGCCCACCACTGCCCAAGTCACTGTGGAATCGGTGCCGCCCAATGCTACCGAAGGAAAGGATGTTCTTCTACTCGTCCACAATCTGCCTGGGGATCCTATAGGCTATGGCTGGTTCCGAGGGGAAACTGTAGAGCCCGGCAAACAAATTGCATCATATGCAGTAGATACAAATGTAACTATGCCAGGGCCTGCACACAGTGGCAGAGAGACAATATACCCCAATGGATCCCTGCTGTTCCAGAACATCAACCTGAAGGACACAGGATACTACACCATACAAATCACAAAGAGAAATTTTCAAGTTAATCAAGTAACAGGACAGCTGCGCGTATTCCGTGAGTAATTCCTCTCTCGCCTCTGGTGTTGGGTGGGGTGAATTCTACTTCACACACACAGGATTCACAGGCCTGGATTGTACCTCCATCCCCCTCTGCATTATGTCCCGTGTGGGGTTTGAGCATTAAGTGCAGGACACACACAGTGGAGACAAACTTCCTGAGATCCGAATTCCCTTCCTGGATTCCAGCCCCAGCACATTCGCTGCAAAGAGAAGGACCAGTCTGATGGGAATAACTCAGCAGAGGGAGACAGATTCAGTCCAACCCCTTGGGCTCCTTCCCATAACCATGACTCTGAGAAAGACCCTGCGGGGCTCAGTCAGGGCCAGGCCTGAGGGACCCATGGGATCCTCACAGAGAAGCTCAGCCCAGAAAGCCCCTGCCCAGATCCCTGACTCAGGGCTCCTGACTCCAGTGACACTGGGGAGTCTGTGCCAGATGTGGGTTTTGGCTTCCTGGCAGGGGGGACAGGGAGCAATGATTTCCTGGCTGCCTGAGTGGTGAGGTTCCTGAACTGGTCACCAGGCTCGGCACCAAGAGCCACATCTGGGGAGGGGCAGAGCCTGGTCCTTCACCTGAGACTTGCGGTGGAAAGCAGAGATAGGCAAGGTCCCTGGGCCACTATCTGACTGCCCTGGGGGATAGGAGACCCGAGAGGAAGGTCAGCACCCCCAGGGAGGAACAGAGGAGAGAAGATGCTCCTGGCAGCAACTCCCACACCAGGGATCAGGCCTAGGGAGCCGTCTCTCATGGAGGCAAGTGACAGTTTATCTGGGCAGCTCCTCTATACCAAGCCTTAGGTCAAGTAATTGTGAAAGATTTAAGGTTAATTACAGACAACACAGCAAGCCTGAGACCATTTACTTGATTTTATTGAGGGGAAACAAAAGCACAGGGCGACGCAGACATTGAATCAGAGTCACACAGGCAGATCACAATCCTACAAGGTCTGTCTGCAGGTACAGGCCTGTCTCCTCCACCCAGGGGGCCTTATCAGACATCTATGGACCCTGAGACCAGCTGTTGGATCAGACCTTTCTTCTTAGGGATCCACAGCTCAAGGTAGATGTTCTGGTCTGGGAGGTAAGAGCAAATGGCCAATGTTTTTACTCAAGAACTAAATTCATCAATGACCAGAGTCAGTTGGGGAATGCCCAGGCCTCCCCTCAGGTGGCCAATCCACAGCTCCTGCATCCGACTTGGAATCACTTATTGTTTCCTGATGTACTGATGGCATCCCACTGGAGTGTAAGGGAAAGGACTCTGCCCTCTCCTCCCAACTGCATACCCCTAACCGGCACAGGGCCCAACAACTCAATTGCTCTTTCGTGAAGGAGGGAAGGAATGAATGAATGATTCCCAGTCTCTTCAGAGTCTGGTCCCTGGATGCAGAATTCTAGGAGGTTCTAGCCACACCTGTTCCCTGTCCCTCCAGGGGCTGAGACCCATGTTCTATCCCTCTGACCACCAGCCCCTCAGGCCACTGCCAGAGAGTCTCATGAGGACTGTGGTATTGCTCAGCCATGGGAGGATCCTGCCCCTGGGTCAACTGTGGGCTCTTAGTGCCCGGAGTCTTTAAAGTCACTTGTAACCCTCACTGCTCACAGCCTGGGACATTTCTGGCTCTCTTCTCCGTCCATGTCCCTCATCTTCCTCCTCCTCCTCCTTTCCAGCTGGGACTACCCCTACCCCTGCTCTGCACAGCCTCCTTTACCCTTAAGCCTTGTCTGGATTCTTCTGCTAACACCTGTGGCCCGGCCCACCCTCCCAGGCAACAGTAAAGGACCCAGAAATCCGAGCAGCATCCTCTGCCGGGCTCCATCAGGAGCCAGTTTCCCCAGGTCACCAGGAGAGCGAGCTTTCACGGTGCCCCCATCCAGGGCTCTTTCCCTCTGTGACGCCATCAAGTGGAACACACCACATGACAAGGACATGTGACCCCTTGATCTACTCTCTACATGACTCCTGACTCACGTCCTCGTCCTGGTGAGGCTCTCGTTCTTCCCAGTGGTTCCCCAGACCCTCCCACGGTGGGGCTGGCCAGACCCTGTGCCTTCTGACTGGTTCACTGCCTATTTCAAACACATACATGGGTGCTCTTGAGGACGCCTTTACCATAGGGTGGAACCCTCTCACGTGGTGAGATCCACCAGTTCCTGTCCTTTCACTTAGATGCTGCCCAATTTGGGTAAATTGGATCAAACTTGTATTTCCTGAGGTCAGAAGAAAGCCACATACAAGCATTGGGTTTCTTTCCATTCTGACTGTAGAAATTGGTGGCAGGGACTTTCTTTCCTAAATTTACTAACATACGCATAATCATTTCTACTAATTTAGTATCATTCCTCCCTTTATATAACAGAGGCACTTCAGACTTCCCCTCATCAATTCTGTTTCTTAACAGGATTCACTTCTCTTTCTCTACCCAGGGAGTCACTGATTTCAAACCCACTATAACGTCTTCCTTCATTCATCACGTGATCCAGGTTGGACTGTAGAACTTGGTCTACAACATATTGTGCTCCCTAGGAAGACATTCCTCCAGAAACGGGTCTTAGATTTTTCAGGTATTAATACTGAGTTTCATATGGAAACCATTTATTTTCTCAAATTTCTATCTCATAACTGTATTTACAAATGGTCCATGAAGGCCAGGCACCCTCCCCCCACCCCTCCACTTCCCACCAGTCACCCCTTCTGCATTTGAAAACACCCACTTGTATTTCAGGAAAGACCAGCATGGTTCTCATTGGCCTCTGCAGTGGGAAAAGAGACTTTAAAGACCGAGAGCAGAGCACATAGTTCTCTGCCAAAGCTAGCCAGGCCCTGCCTATCCCCTTCACTCTTTTCTGGATCATTTCTAGTCTTGACTCTGCTCCACCACTGTCTCAGGTCAGTCACCATGGAACACCTGGGCGGAACTGTCCTACTTCGTGGCCCTGCAGCCTGAGTGCTGGACTGACCTCCAGGCTTGCCCCTGGTGTCCCCTGGTATTACTTCTGCTCAAATACCCGCTTCCAGGCCATGCTGTCCAGTGTTCTCCAGGCTTATGAGCTCTGGGAAGGCCCATCATTGCCCATCTCCAGGACAACCCTGGAAACAAGGCCTCAAGGACAACACCTGTAGCTTGACTGGTGTTAGGTCTGTGCAGTAGAAAGGACCTCAGCACCTACACTTTCCAGGTGTGGCCTCTGAGGTTGGTCACACAGTCAGTTCGTCAGGGAAGAACCAGGAGAGGCCCAGCGTGGTCTCTGACTTTGTGCTATGTCTTCCACAACCAAACCCTGATGCTTCTTTGACCTGAGAAGACTTGTGCTTGCTCTCAGACAGAGAGCAGGTGGCCTGTGTTCTCTGAGCGCACAGATCCTCTTGCATTTGTCTTGAGCTACACAGACCTGCCTTATTCTTTGAAGGACTCAGGTTGGCTGAGAGGTGAGAGATGCCAACTCTGATTTGAGATGTCTGTGGAGGAATCACAGGTACCACCCAGGGCAGTGTTCTTTCTGTTGTCTGCACAGCGCAGTTACCCAAACCCAACATCGCAAACAACAACTCCGATCCCGTGGAGAATGTGGATTCTGTTGTATTAACGTGTGGACTTCAGACTCAGAGCACAAGCTACCTGTGGTCAGTAAACAATGAGAGCCTCCCGGCCAGCGCCACACTAGAACTGTCCCTGGACAACAGGACTCTCACTATACATGATGTCACAAGGAATGACACAGGACCCTATGAGTGTGAAACTCGGAACCCAGTGAGTGCCGGTCGTAGTGACCCATTCACCCTGAATGTTCTCTGTGAGTAACTTCCCCTCCTACCTGGCCCGGGCTGCCAGCCCAAATCCACATGCCGGGGGCCAGGCCACATCCATCCTTCTGGGGTCCGAGTCCATGAATCTCAGCTGGACCCCCAGGCTGGCCATGGCTTCTTGTCCCAGGCAAACCTGGGCAGCCCCAGCCTAAGCCAAGACTAGGAGGGGACAGGCTGCTTCTCCCTGAGGGTGTCACCAGCCTCTGAGGGGAAACAGGTGAATATCTCAGACCCAGGCTCAGTGAACACAGGGGGCTTTGGACTTTTTTTTTTTTTTAATTTTTTTATTCTTATGTTAATCCCCTTACATTACAACATTAGTTTTAGATGAAGTGTTCCATGATTCATTGTTTGTGCACAACACCCAGTGCTCCATGCAGAACATGCCCTCCCAAATACCCACCACCAGGCTAACCCATCCTCCCACCCCCCTCCCCTCTAGAACCCTGTTTGTTTTTCAGAGTCCATCGTCTCTCATGTTTCGTCTACCTCTCCGATTTCCCCCGCTTCATTCTTCCCCTCCCGCTACCTTCTTCTTCTTCTTCTTCTTTTTTTTTTTTCTTAACATATATTGCATTATTTGTTTCAGAGGTACAGATCTGAGATTCAACAGTCTTGCACAATTCACAGCGCTTACCAGAGCACATACACTCCCCAGTGTCTATCACCCAGTCCCCCCATCCCTCCCATCCCACACCCCACTCCAACAACACTCAGTTTGTTTCCTGCGATTAAGAATTCCTCATATCGGGCGCCTGGGTGGCTCAGTTGGTTAAGCGACTGCCTTCGGCTCAGGTCATGATCCTGGAGTCCCGGGATCGAGTCCCGCATCGGGCTCCCTGCTCGGCGGGGGGTCTGCTTCTCCCTCTGACCCTCTTCCCTCTCGCGCTGTCTCTCATTCTCTCTCTCAAATAAATATATAAAATCTTTAAAAAAAAAAAAAAAAAGAATTCCTCATATCAGTGAGATCATATGATACATGTCTTTCTCTGTTTGACTTATTTCACTCAACATAATACCCTCCAGTTCCATCCACGTCGTTGCAAATGGCAAGATCTCATTCCTTTTGATGGCTGCATAATATTCCATTGTATATGGCTTTGGACTTTTTAAAATGAGGTTGGGACCCAGCCTAGTGGGACACTGTGGCCCTAATACAGACCAGGAGCTTCGGTTTCCCTCGGATTGCATCACCTGTGGCTTTATTCTGTTTGCTCCAGATGGCCCGGACGCCCCCACCATTTCCCCCTCAGACTCCTCTTACCATCCAGGGGCCAACCTCAGTCTCTCCTGCCACGCAGCCTCTAACCCGCCCGCACAGTATTCTTGGTTTATCAATGGGAGGCCCCAGCCATTCACACAGGAGCTCTTTATCCCCAACATCACTGCCAATGATAGTGGATCGTATACCTGCCTCGCCTATAACTCTGGCACTCGGCTCAATAAGACCACAGTCAAGACTATCACAGTCTCTGGTAAGTGGATCCCTGGAGCATCTGCACCGACAGCTGTGGTGAAGGTCTGTCTGGCTTTCAGCAAAGAGCCTAGAAGTAGTCATTTCCCATTTGCTCCCAAATCTGTCCCTGAACTCTCCCATTACATGTCTGCAGGGGCTTCCTCCCTGATTTCTCATGGCAGACCTTGGGTCCAGTCTGGAATGTGGGGAGGGGGGTTCTCAGCTCCAGAAAGCCCCATGCCTTGCAAATAGGGAAGAATAAAGGGTCCTCAGGTTCAAGTTGCTTTTTGTTGTTGAATTGCAGAAGTGCATTATATATTCTGGATATTAATCTCTTACCGGATTGGATTTGCAAATGTTTCCTTCCAATCCATGGGTTGCCCTCACTTTTTTTTTTTTTTTAAGTGAACTTTAGTTGACACACAACGTGACCTTAGTTTCAGGTGTACAACATAGTGATTGGACAGCTCTATATGTTATGCTCTACTCAACACAATGGAGGTCCCATCTGACCCCATGCAGCCCCATTAAAATACCATCGACTGTATTTCCTGTGCGGTACATTTCATCCCTATGTCCTGTTCATTCCAGACCTAGTGCTACCACTCTCCGGATTGTGTCTTTTGATGCGCAGAAGTTTTCTATTTTGATGCAATCCAATTCATCTGTTTTTTCTTTTGTTGTCTCTGCTTTGGGTGTCATATCTAAGAAATCATTGGGAAATCCAGTTTCCATAAGTTTTTGCATTACGTTTTCTTCTAAGGCTTTTATAGTTTTGACTCTTATGTTTAGATGTTTGGTCTATTTTGCATTAACATTTGTACACGATGTACAAAGGTGTACATGGTGGAAGGTCAGGTCCAACTTCATTCATTTGCATGGACATCCAGTGTTCCCAACACCATTTGTGGAATAGATTTTTTTCTCCATTGAAGGGTCACGACAACCTTCTTGAAAATCATTCAACCACATATGCCAGTGTTTGTTTCCGGGGTGCCTATCCTATTTCGTTGGTCTCTATGTCTGTCTTTATACCAGATCCCCATTATTATTGGTTAATGTAGCTTTGCAGTCAGGAAGTAGGAGTCCTCCAACTTTGTTCTTTTTCAAAATAAGTATTTGAGGCCCCTGAGATTCCATGTAAATGTTTGGAAATTCCTATTTCTGAAAAATATTTCCTTCAGAATTTGATAGGGAGGCACCTGGCTGACTCAGTTGGTGGAACATGTGACTCTTGACCTCAGGGTTGTAGGTTTGAGCCCCATGTTGGATGTAGAGATTACTTTAAAATAAAATCTTAAAAAAAAACTGATAGGGATTACATTGAATCTGTGGATCTCTTTGGGTAGCTTTGTCATCTTACCAATATGAAGTTTCATCACCATGAACATGGGATGTCTTTCCATTTATTTGTGTCCTCTGTAATTTCTTTCACCAGTGTTTTATAGATTTCCATATACAGTCTGTTGACTCATTAATTAATTCCTAAGATTTGTTCTTCTTCATGTTATTGTAAGTAGAACTGTTTTCTTAAACACAGTGATTTTTGTATCCTACAACTTTGTTGAATTCTTAATTAGCTCAACAGTTTGTGTGTGGGGAGGGGGATCATTAGGGATTTGTACATAAAATGTCATGTCATCTGCAAAGAGACATAATTGTACTTACTCCTTTCCAATTTGATTGCATTCTCTGTTTTTTTTCCTCCTAATTATTTTTGCGTGGACTTCTGTACTGTGTTGAACACCGGTGTTGAAAGTGGCATGTTTATCTTCTACTTTCAGGGTTTCACCATGGAGTGTGATGCTAGATCTGGCTGTTCCATGTAAGGCCTTTATTATGTTCAGTGGTTTCCTTCTATTTGTAAGGGTGCCAATATTCTGTATACAGTAACCACCACTCGACAGAAGTTTTTCACCAGGAGAGTCAAGCCACAGATCTGGAAGTAAAAGTCTTCTTCAGAGTGAGAAGTCCTGTACATTAAAAACTCTTTGATTCCGGGGCGCCTGGGTGGCTCAGTCGGTTAAGCGGCTGCCTTCAGCTCAGGTCATGATCCCAGGGTCCTGGGATCGAGCCCCGGGTTGGGTTCCCTGCTCTGCAGAGAGCCTGCTTCTCCCTCTCCCTCTGTCTGCCGCTCTGCCTACTTGTGCTCTCTATCTCTGTTAAATAAATAAATAAAAATCTTTATTTAAAAAAAAAAAACTCTTTGATTCCTAAGGTTGTGAAGACGATGCAGGTGGCTTTTATTCCCTAGTAAATTGTAACTATGTGAATGCCTTCCCTACTTTACATGAAGCTGCTTTGGACACAGAGATAGAAGGGCTGCGAATCCTCCTCCCCCAATATACATGGAAAGGTATATAAGGAATGAGGCATGATCTTTTAAAGTCACAAAAGTTCAAGAAAACAGTCACACAGAAGTCCATGGGAATAAAAAATTCCACCTGACGATGAGGATGCGGGACATGTGGCCTTGGAAGAGGTTCCTGGTGCTGATGCTACAGAGATGTCCAGGCAGAGCAGACACAGGACTGAGGTCCAGAAGGGAACTTGAGGGTCACAGGGGGAGGTACAGCTCTCTCCTTAAAGATCGTCACCTGAACAAACACACTCATCCTTCTACAGACAGCAGGGCCATCCTCTGGGGCACCTTTACAGGGCTCGCTGGGGCCCTCCGAATGGCTGGCATCTCAGGGGAAGGAGTGTGACCCAATGCCCCAGGCCCATTCTCATTCCATTACCTCCTGTGTTTCCCCACAGAGCCAGTGGCCCGGCCCTCTCTCCATGCCAGCAACACCACAGTCACAGGAAATAAGGACTCTGTGGTCCTCACCTGCTCCACAAATAACACTGGGGTCTCTATCGGGTGGCTCTTCAATGGCCAGAGTCTAAAGCTCACAGAGAGGATGAAGCTGTCCCAGGACAACAGCACCCTCACCATAGACCCTGTCAGGAAGGAGGATGCCGGGAATTACCAGTGTGAGGTCTCCAACCCAGGCAGTTCCAGCCAAAGTGACCCCATCAGGCTGGATGTGAACTGTGAGTGAACCTCGACCTCTCCCTCTTCTTCCCTGTATATTTTACTGGCAGGGGGTGTGAAATGGATGCAGGCCTGGAGGAGGTAGGAGCCACCTTCACCTTCAGAGCCTCTAGGGCAATGTGGATAAAATCCCTGGAATTAGACTAATCTTGTTAGCATCTTGGTTCTGATTTGTACCAGCTATTGGACCTCGGGCAAGACGCTCTACCTCCTGAGCCTCAGTCTCCTCATCTGTAAAACTGGAAAGAACAGCTGGATCTTAGGGCTGTTGTGAGGGTTGTTCATATGAGTTCATGAGATGAAATCCTGAGACGGCATCATACACAGATTCAGGCTCAATCAAATTTAGCAGCTATTGTCCTTTTGATATTAATGTTTTTGTTACTAGCTATGTCTCGGGGATTTGGGATTAAGTGTTGTCTGATTACGTTCCAGCTCGGTGACCTTCACTGATTTACTGAAGCCCTTTACATACTCAGATGCTCATTTTGCACAGTGGGGATGACACCTGGCCCCCTCATTGACAGGGAAGCAGCAGATGAGATAAACATAAAGTATTTCCCATGTGCCTGGCACAGGGCCGACCTCAAAAGCAGTCAGCTAATGCTATTCTCTTTAATTAGTGTTGAGTGAACAGGTAAGGGCCTCCCTCTATGAGCATTGATAGAAATGGAAAGGAAGACCCAGGGGAAGAGGCATAATGTGAGAGGAAAATGAACAGGACCCTGGTACTGGGCCCGGGGTGGGGGGACAATGTGAAGAATGAAGCAAGTCCAGGGTTTCACCGTGAGGAACAGAAACGATGCAGCGGTCCAGGGGGTGGGGACATTGTGGTGAGAAAACATACACCACCCAGACCTCAGTGGCCTTTCCTTCCTCCCTAACCAGGCCCTTCCCCCACAGCCCCTCCTGGCTTCCCCAGCTTTGACTTGGGACTCACTCCCCTCCCTTTTTCTTCTTATTTCAGATGAAAGAAGCACCACAGGCCTCCCTGTGGGGTCCATCATTGGCATTGCAGTTGGGGTCCTGGTCGGACTGGCACTGGCGGCCGCCCTGGGTTGTCTCCTGTTCCACAAAAGGACTGGAAAGTACGATGGCATTTCCCAGAAGCTGATCCTGTCCCCCAGCTGACCCCTGGCCAGGAGGGGACCCCATCCTGACCTAGCATTCTGGGCTGGCTCTTCCAGGCCTCCCAACTGCCCCCTGGATTTTCCCTCTTATTCCATCTGGCTCCTTCCTCACCAGCTGCTGACCAGGGTGCTTCTTTCCAAGCTTCCTCGGTTTTAAATTAGGGACAACTAGGGAACAGCCCCTCAGGGTTGTCTGCATTCATTTGGCAAACCTACAGCTGTGCTCATAGGACTAAGTACTCAGTAAACAGCACCTCCCGTGGTTTATTTAAGTCCACACGCCCTGTGAGGGGGCGTTGCAGCCTCAGGATCTGAGGCTGGTCCTGGTCAGGGTCACGCAAAGGAGAGTGGAAGATCCTGACAGGCCAGGTGGGATCATCCTCCAAATGGCAGATGCGTGAACCACAGTCCCTGTTGTGTGAGAGCAGAAAACCTGGGTTCGGCCAGGTGGACGTCCTGGAATGTCCTTTATGCCTCTTGTCCAGGCAGATGGAGATAGAGGACGGGCTGCTGTCACATTTCAGCATCTCCTGGCCTGAGGGGACGAGGGTCTGGCCACAGCAGGGGCACCACATTCAGGGATCCAGCATACCCGGGGTTCCCCAACTGTCCTGCACACCTAGCTGCAGGCTTGACCCTTCCACTCAGACAAACCCTCCTGTTTGATTCCTTTCCTGGGTCCTTGATCCCTTTTCAGGACACTTTCTCCTAGAAGCCCATCAGCCTGTGGGTCTTCCCCTGTGAGCCCAGGACAGAAGTGTTCCAAAGACCTTTCCTAATCCCCTCTCCTGGGCCCGTCCTCTGCTGAACAGCACTGGTGGAGAGAGGGGGTCTCTAACTCCTGCCTGGAATGAGGATCCTGCTTGTCCCCTGCTCTGACACCAAAGCCGTGACGTCTCCCTGCACCCCTCACATGTAAGCCTGATCTTCCCTAGGGCCAGTGGCTGGTGTGATCTCAGAGAGCTCTGTCGCCCAGCATCCACTCCCCGTGAGTATATCTTCAGCGCGGGTGGGACCTGGAGCCCCGAAGTCCTGCCCCAGTGTCCACTCCTGCCAGTCACTCCCCAGGGCCTCTGACCCTTTTTCTGTGGCTTCAGCTCGAGGGACCTCAACTGGCCATAGTCCCTGACTTGTAGAATCTAGATCATAGGTCAGCACCTTGACCTCACGGGCCCTAACATGGCCAGTGGGTCTGTCCCTGGGAGGTGCTCCTGCTTCCCTGTTCTCTGAGAGCTGAGGACCTGTCCCCTCCTGGAGGGTGGCCCCAAGCTTCTTCACAGCCCTGGTGCTAACTCCTGTCTCTGTCCCCAGGCCATGGTCCAGCCTGCAGATCTGCATCCCCGGTAAGCCCGCCCCCTCCGCCACTCTTTCCCCTGGGGTCCAGCATGTGCAGGCTCAAGGTGGGCAACCAGCCAATTCAGCAGCACAGAGCAGACCTTGCTTCCCCCAGAGTAGCCAGGACAAGGCAAGCCCTGTTCTGGCCAGGAGTGGACCCTCTTCAGGGGCAGGACCACCCCCCAGCATGTCCTGGGTTGTCCCTGCTCCCCTGAACTGGCCAAAGGAGAACCCTGGAGTCCAGCCAGGGGCAGGGTGGGCACTGGGAGCACCAGCCAGGGGTCCTGAGCTAACAGAAATGGGGCAGGGGGTGCAGTGGGCAGTGGTCAGGGACTGGAGTATGGGCCAGCAGGCTTGGAGAAAGCATTTCAACAGGCAGAACCAGTCACTCCCGTAGAGGAATGACCCTCCCTCTCTGACTACCAACACCCATTCTCTCCTGTTTAGGACTCCCTGCCCGGCCCCACCACAGCCGTTCCCATCTACCAGGTGAGTGTGAGCAATGACTGCTCTGGTCCCCGATGCCCAAGGGGGCCGAAGATCTGCGCCCATCCTGCCCCTGGCTGTGTTTTCAGGTTCAGGAAGCAAGAGAACAAGGGGGACAGGGCATTGTGGGAGGAAGGAGGGGCCCGGGGCAGACACCTGCCACACAGTCAGGCTCCCAGAGAGCAGCCCAGGTGGGCCTAGAACCTGAAAGTCACCCAGATATGTTCTAAGAAGGTGACAGGGTCTCAGAGGCCTCTTCTGCTTTTACAGGAATTACGACACCCCGACACAAACATTTACTGCCAGATCAACCACAAAGCAGAAATGGCTTCTTAGTTTCCCCTGGGAACTGCTCCTTCCAGGGCCCTCCTGAGACCCCAGACTCTAGGTGGGGTCAGGAGCTGCAGCCTGAGCCAGAGAACCGGCTCTAAGCCCTGAAGATATTCAGGGACATGGACCCAGGGATGGGTCCCTCCTGATTTCTGGAGACCCCTACCGACTGCCCTGAACCCAGGACAAAGGCCCCCATTTCCCAGGAAGTGGGGGTTCTCGGGAAAAGTGTCCTGACCCCTGACCCACTGGCGATGATCGAAGAGGATCTGAATAAAGAGGATTCATCCCCTCCTTGGCCCTTTTTTTGGTGAATGGTAATTTCTCTTAGCAGAAATTTCCCCAGGGGCACCTGGCTGGCTCAGTCAGTAGAGCATGCAACTCTTTTTTTGTTTGTTTTTTAAGGTTTTATTTATTTACTTGAGAGAGAGAGAGAAGGATCACGAGCAGGGGAGAGGGGCAAAGGCAGAGGGAAAAGCAGACTCTCCACTGAGCAGGAAGCTGGACGTAGGGCTCCATCCATGGACCCCAGGACCATGTCCTGAGCCGAAGTCAGACACTTAACCAAATGAGCCACCCAGGCACCCCGAGCATGCAACTCTCGATCTTGGGGTCATGAATTTGAGCCCCATGTGTGGCACAGAGTTTACTTAAAAAAAAAAAAAAAGTAAAAAAAAGAGAAAAGAAATTCACCTGAAACTCTGGGTCTCTTCTCTCCTGGGTCACATAGGGAAATGTTACCTCTGAGTTGACCAAGCCCCCATCTCTTGTCCCCCAGGATAGAGGAAGGGGTGAGTGGTGTGGACATGGTGGGACCACGCTAACTAGAACACCAGAGCTGTGGCCAAACCATGAGAGAACTCAGCAGTCCTCACACTGCTCAGGGACCAAAGCTTTAGACACTCCCAGTGTTTATAAATGTGGTTTGGGTGTCGGGAGCACAGAACATGGGGCCTCTGATGACCACATGAAGATGAGCTAGGAAGGAGTTGCTGTGGGCAGCAAACATAAACCACAGAGAAGGATGAACTGGGCATCTTTTCCCTTGGCTATTCTTTAATAGTAGGTCACCTGGCAACAAATTTTCATATTCTTCCTTCTTCAGAAAATTTCCTTATTTCCCCTTTCCTCCTGAGGATCATTTTGCCAGATACAGGATTTGTAGTCGATTTGAAAAACCTGCCGCTTCCTTCTGGCCTCCATGCTGTCAGATACAAAACCTACTGTCACTTACTTAAATCAGTGTTCCTTAATAAGCAATGGGTTGTTTCTCTGGCTCTTTTTATTTATTTATTTTTAAGGATTTTATTTATTTACTTGAGAGAGACAGAGTGAATGAGAGAGAGAGAGAGAGCAAAAGCCAGGGGGAAAGGCAGAGGGAGAAGCAACCTCCCTGCTGAGCAGGGAGCCTAAAGCAGGGCTTGATCCCAGGACCCTGGGATCATGACCTGAGCCGAAGGCAGACGCTTAACGACTGCGCCATCCAGGCGCCCCTCTCTGGTTCTTTTTAAAGATTTTTTTTCTTCTTGTCTTTAGTTTTCACAAGTTTGCCATGTGCCTTAGTGTGAGTGCTTATCGTGTTCGGTGTTCACTCAGCTTCTTGGACCATTATTTCTTCAGACGCTTTTTTCGCTCCATATTTTTTTTCCTACTTCTGGTATCCAGTGGCACCAATGTTAGATCCTTTCTTTTTTTGTTTTTTTAAAAGATTTATGAAACAGAGTGTGCTCATGAGCAGGGGGAGGAGCAGAGGGAGAGGGAGGGAGAGAATCCTCAAGCAGTCTCCCCGCTGGGCATCAAGAGACTACAAGTCAAGGAGTATTGGCAGACTCCAGAAACTGGAGAAGGCAAGAAAATTGATCCACCCCCAGAACCTCCAGAAAGGAATGTGGCCCCGCCAATATCTTTATTTTAGCCCAGTAAAACCCATGTTGGACTTCTGACCTCCAGAAATGTAAGATAATAAATGTCTGTTGCTTTTAAGCCACTGTCTTTGTGGTAATTTGTTACAGCAGTAATAGGAATCTAATATAGACTGCATATTAGATTATATTGTTGTATGAATATCAAATTGGGGGAGCTTGATCATCGTACTGTGGGTATATAGGAGAAAATCTCGGTTCTGGTGAGATACGGGCTGAAGTAGTTAGGGTGAAGTATTAGGATACCTAAAACTTCCAAGTGATACATCAAAAAATCATATATATACATATATATATAATGAAAAAGATTTGTGTGCATGCACATGCATAGATCTACATCTATGCAGCTAGAATACAAATGTGTCATTGGTAAATAAGCATGAAAGGCATATGGGAGTTCCCTCTAATAGTCTTGCAACTTTTCACTAAGTTTGACTTTTTTTTTTATTGGGGGGTGGGGCCTTATGTTTTAGAAGTACACACAAAAGTGTTTAGAAACAATAGTATATGATTTCTAATATTTAGTCCGGTAGGTGGAGGAGTAGAAGGGAGATAGATATAACAAGGTTCATCATGAGTTGATACTTTGAGCTGGAGATGGGTACTTGAGGGTTCACAATACCATTCTCCCTAGTATAACGAACTAGAATCCGCTTGTCCATGTTTGTATACAAACTCTCTTTGTATACATTTAAAATTTTCCATATGAAAAGATTTCAAGGAAAGAGAAAAAAATTTCCGGCTCAGAAGTTTTATCAGTGAGTTGCACAGAACTTTCAACACAGATCATCTCAAAATTATACAAATTCATCCACAGAACAGCGAGAGACTATGCCCCCAACTGACTCTGGGGTTAGTATAACCTTTAAACTGAAATAGGAACAACAACAAAAGTACAAAAAGAGGAAAATATCAGGCCAATCATACTCATGAACAGAGAGACAAAGATGTTAATCACGATATTCTCAAACCAATTCCAACAGTATATACAATAAGATAGTACACCGTGACTCAATTCCATTGTCCCAGGAAAGGAAAGGTTCAATATTAGAAATTTATAAATGGGCGGGGCATCTGTGTGGCTTGGTCGTTTAAGCGGCTGGCTCTTGATTTTGGCTCAGGTCATGACCTCAGGGTCCTGGGATTGATCCCCATGTCGGGCTCCGTGCTCAGTGCGCAGTCGGCTTGAGGATTTCTCTCCCTTTTCCCCTGCCCCTCCTCCTCCTCAAATAAATAAATTAATTTTTTTTTAAATTTATAAATGGAAGAGGGTAAGAATTTCTAGAGTACCATAATGTTCTGTTTCCTGATCTAGCTGGTAGATACATGGGTGTGTTCAATTTTTGAAAATTCACTAAGCAAAACACTTCATTCTATAACAGTCCTCCTACCCCCTCAACTTTTTTCATGATATAGACTCTTTGAAAAGACCAGACCAGACATTTTGTCTTGTAGAATGCCCACATTCTGACTTTGTTTCCTTATGGTGTCATTTCACTTGCTTCTCTAAACCCTGTATTTCCTATAAATTGGAAAATGAATCTCAAAGCTGAAATAGATTCAGGTTATATTTTTTTGGCAAGAATGCTTTCTGGGTTTCATATTGCATCATATTAGGAGGGACATCCTAGCTACTTGTCTAGACCTTATGCCAATATAACTATTTTCATGACATAAAAATTGATCAGCGGGCATTTTTTTAGGTTTTTCTTTACATTCCAGTTAGTTGGGGTGCCTGGGTGGCTCAGGCGGTTGGGTCCTGATCGCAGGGTTGTGGGATCAAGTCCCGTGTAGGGCTCTGTGCTCAGTGGGGAGTCTGCTGGAGATCCTCTCCCTCTGCCCCTCCCCGCTCGCTCTCTCTCAAAAAAACAAAACAAAACAAATAAGTCTTTAAAATTTAAAAAATAAAATAAATTCCAGGTCGTTAACATGCAGTGTAGTATTAGTTTTAGGTGTACAATATACTCATTCGACTCTTCCATACAACACCTGGTGCTCATCACAACCAGTGCCCTCCTTAATCCCCATCTCCTTTTTCACTCATTCCCCCACTCGCCTCCCCTCTGGCAACCATCAGCTTGTTCTCATAGTTGAGTCTGTTTCTTGGTTTGCCTCTCTTTCTCTCTCTTTTCCCCCTATTCTAATTTGGTGTGTTTCTTAAATTCCACATGCCTGAAATCATATGGTATTTCTCTTTCCCTGACTGACGTAGTTCACTTAGCATAACACACTCTAGCTCCACCCACATTGTTGCAAATGAAAAGGTTTCATTCTTTTTTTGTGGCTGAGAAATATTCCATTGTATACATACACCACATCATCTTTATCCATTTATCAACTGATGGACATTTGAGCCGTTTCCATAGTTTGGCTATTGTAAATAATGTTGCTATAAACATCGGGGTGTGTGTATCCCTTTGTATTAGGATTTTTGTATCCTTCGGGTAAATACCTAGGAGAGCACTTCCTGGATCACTGGGTAGTTTTATTCTTAACTTTTTGAGGAACCTTTCCACCGTGTTCCAGAATGGCTTCCCCGGTTTACATTCCCACCAACATGCAGGAGTGCTCTCCTTTCTAATCAGTGGGCATTTTTTTGTGCAAAGACAAATGTGTATACAGAATTTACAAGATTAGAAAACTATCTACCATGCTGGTCCTCAACAGAAGGAAAGCTGTCTATGGCAAGGCCACAGCTAACGTCATACTCAGTGGTGAAAGGCTGAAAGCTTCTCTATTAGAATCAGAAACATGACAAGGGTGCTCATCCTCACCACTTCTATTCAGCATAGTACTGAGAGTCTTAGAGCAATTACACAAGAAAAAGAAATAAAAGGCATTCATGCCAGAAAAGAAGTAAAATTCTCCATGTTTGTAAATGACATGATCTTATATAAAGAAACTCCAAAGGCTCCATGAAAAACTGTCAGAACTAATAAATTCAACGAACCTGGAGGATGCGGGGCACCCGGGTGGCTCAGTCGGTTAAGCATCTGTCTGCCTTCGGCTCAGGTCATGATCCCGGGGTCCTGGGATCAAGCCCCGCATCAGGCTCCCTACTTGGCGGGGAGCCTGCTCTCCCTCTCCCTCTACTGTACCCCCTGCTTGTGTTCTCTCCCTCTCTCTGTCAAATAAATAAATTTTTTTTTTTTTTAAAAAGGAAGCTGGAGGATGCAAAATCAATCTACAGAAATCAGTGCATTTCTATCCACTAACAAAGAACCTATGGCAAACTACCTGGAAAACAAATAAAAGGTTCCCATTTCCCATGGCATCAGAAAGAATGAAATGCTTTGCCCTGGCGGGGCCTTGAGGGGTGGAAACAGGCACCGGGGAGGCAAGGAGTAGTCCAGTCTGTAGGGTCAGAGGCAAGGGAGCTCTGCTCTATGGGCACCAAAGATGCTGCTTGGGAGGCAACCCCCAGCCCCCACAGACTATCTCAAGGAATAAGCAGAGTCCACTCAACCAGAAGAGAAGCAAAGATAAAGCACGATGGCTTCAGTGTCTAATGGGAAGCAAGATCAAGGTCCCCATTTGCCACCACCAAGAAAGCAGAGCCTGTAGTTTTGGAGTACTGCCCAAAGATGCACTTGCTGGTATCTTGGCGTTCGGCTTTGCAAATGCCATACCTAGGAGAATGCCAGAGTAAATTCCATTGCTTGGAAGATCTGCTCTTTTTTGGCCCAGGAAATAGCAGGAATGGCTGCTTATGTGTGAAGAATGCAAAATAAAGGATGCATTGAATCAAAAGGGACAGTCACAGCCTTCACCTTCCTAAACTCTGTATCTATTAAAGTTTCCTACACCTCTGAATTTGTACACATTTAAAATTTCAAGTGTTGGGGCGCCTGGGTGGCTCAGTCGTTAAGTGTCTGCCTTCGGCTCAGGTCATGATCCCAGAGTCCTGGGATTGAGCCCCGCACCGGGCTCCCTGATCAGCGGGAAGCCTGCTTCTCCCTCTCCCACTCCCCCTGCTTGTGTTCCCTCTCTTGCTGTGTCTCTGTCAAATAAGTAAGTAAAATCTTAAAAAAAAAAAAAAAAACTTTAAAATTTCAAGTGTACTTTAAAATAGTATACTTAGAGTGGGACCGAAACATTGTGATACTCTCACTCTGTTGGGATGCTTCCTGTGGAAGATTCTCAATGAAACTGAACAGCAAATGTTTCCTGCTGTTTAAGAAACTATTGAGAGCTCTCCACATGGAAAAAAAATTATGTTGCAACAAGCTTGTTTATAGCTAAGTAAAAGAATTCAAAGTCTTCTCTGAAAAAAAAAGAGAGAGAGAGAAAAGAAACAATAAAATAATTTGGACTAATTGTAACCCAGGAGGGGAAAGATCTGTAGACTGAAAACTTATGAGACATTGATGAAAGAAACTGAAGC